TATTTCGAAGAATTGGGACAAGAACATGAGTCCTTACAAAAGAAAAATAGTCTATTGTCTCCAAAAAAAAAAAAAAACGTGCAGAGCGGTGTCCTAAATAAAACACCACCTGTTCTGGGAGCGATGAGTAGATTAGAATCTTTAGCCGAAAATTTCCGCGAAGATGAATTTGATACATTCGGGCAGGCTATAGCCAACCAACTACGTAGTTTACGATTAACGAATGTTATTAAGCGCCAGAAGTTTATAAATAATTACGTAACAGAGGAAAGATGTCAAGTGTTAAATTCACAAGATCTTTTAATTTTCAAGCCTGCCAGCCAATGTTCTCACCAGTTTCCAAATTCCAAATACACTCAGCATTACTCACGGACTCACGAAGACTATTTTGACGGCTGTTTCCAAGTACAAGAAAATACTGAACAATACGATTTTCTGTCGCAAGCTGTTAAATGCCTTAATGCAAATTATATCGACAACTATACTTTCATTTTTTAATTACCATAATATAATCTTGTAAAACATATGATGTCCAATACATCTTTCAAAAATAATGAAATTGTGCATTCTGAAACTCTAAATGACTCTGCAAGGGTAGTTATCGTCGGTAGGGTAGGGAATTTTAGGGTAATTTCTTATTTAATTTATGGCGAATGCACTTCACGCATATTAGTGTCAATAACTGCTTTTTACAAAACTGTGTATCAGTTCAGTATCAGTAGCAGTTTCAGTCAAGCTCTGAAGAAGCCAGCAAGATGATTGGCGAAACGTCAGCAATTTCGACTCGGCAAAAACCGACGCAGGAGGAATCCAGAAGTTTTGTAAAAAGCATTGCAGTAGCCTGTGGAAGTTTCTGTGAAAAATTGGTGTCAATAACTTTTTGAAGTAAAGTGTCAAACTGGTCTGTCATGATTCTTAAACGTTTTCTAAAATATTCAGGATCTTCTGATCTCCGTTCCACAAGCGAAGTAACTAAAGCACCCAATATATTACGTCGGCAAATCCATTTACGTTTTTTCATTTGCTTCTTTTTTTGTTCTTTGAGCAATTCCTGAACAATTAATTTACCAACCATTTTCATACCAGCACGTAAAACACCTGCTCTGGTTAACATTTTCAAAAAATATATACCGAGTCGTTTGCGTTTGTGTAAATGGAGAAGCTATGCGGCTATAGCAAGGCGTTATCGAATGAACTTGCTACACGTTGAAAATCTGCTCGTGTAAACCCACTTTTAGTTGCCACGAAAGAAGATCACCCACCTTCACCCGACGCTAAAAAATACGATACGCAACACGAACGATTCTGCTGGGGGTTTTAAACACGCGAAATAACGTAACGGCACCGGATCAGCTGTTTCGTCGCTCTTCTTTACCGCGACCGATCTTTTGCCCGGCTTGGTACCCGTGACCATAACAACCGATAAGAAGAAGTACAACCACGGACCGACGAAACCTGACGATGACGACGGACGAGATGAAAGAAAAAAAAAAAAAAAGAACGCCGCCGCGTGTCTACGCGTTATTTTCGGAACGATGTTTGTTTTGATGCGGGGCGCCCGTCCAAATTTAACACGTCTCTCGCAAGGAATAGCGCGTCGTTTTTTTTTTTTGGCGAAATCGGACGAAGGGAATTGTGACGTAACGGAAAACGTGAGGCGGCCGAGATTTTTTGGCGGTCTGCCTAATTCCTACACAGCGACCCACCGTTTCTTATTTTCATACGTATTCGCATACTTTTGTTTCTTTGTGCCGAGTTAAATCGGCCACGTGGGTACTTTGTCGGTGCCTTATTTCTTGGCATGTCGATGTCGATTATTCGCGTTTATGGTTGACGAACAAACTCGTCGAGTGTAAATGGAACTCGCTATGATTTTCATCAATTTTTGGCGTCAATTCGGCAATGCCAACTATGTAAATCGTAAGTCAAAACTAATACTAGTTTTACGCCGAAGTGAACTGGGAAGCAATCTCTTTGACGTCTCAAAATGTCATTTAACAGTTCAGTATTTTGAGGCAACGTTTGTCTATTTCTGTTTTTGACTGGTGTTTAATTGTTTTATTGAAATGTTTAAGTTTAATGTTATGCGAAAAAAGTAAAAGAATTAGAAAAAGAAATGCTGTGGTGGGCTAGGCCTTGGCTAGAAGGTAAAAATAAACGCCTAAAATTGGTTAAACAGTTTAGACAGTTTTTGAGGGTGTCGTAAAACGGCAAATTTCCTTTGAAGTTTGTATTTGATTCTGCTTTTTTCTTTTTGGTGCTTGGAATTTGTCATCATCGTGATGCTGCCTCTGCGTTGGTTTCGCCATTTCATTTTCTCAATGTCCCTGTGAAACCTCTCTCCCTGTTCTTCGCTAACTGCTCCAAGATTTTCAGGAAATGGTTGGAGTATGAAAACAGGAAAGGCACTTTCTGTGTTGACTTTGCATAATGTTCTTATCTGCGGCCCAATAAAAATACCTTCTTTTATCTTGGCATTGTATATTTGAAACACTGTCCATTTTTGTCCAGGCCTTTAACAAACTGATTCATCAATCCAATTTTGTTATGAAGAGGAGGCAGTAAAATTTTATTTGGGGTGAACTAAGCTATCTCCTCATGCATTTTTGCTGCCAGGTATAAGACTTGTTCTAGAGGACCATTATGTTTGAGTCCAATGTCTAACTCTTGCCCGACTACCTCACTCATAAATAATGCATGGAAATTTTGTACAACCCCCGTGTTGTCCTAGGGGCATGCACAGCACTTGAAGGTCGCCACATAGCATCCACTGATGTTCTCGGTCGTTTATTTTCTTCAACTGATGTCCTAAACTTTCATAAGTTTCTTTTAAAGGTACTCAATATGCAACGGCAACTGAGGCTATATGTGTCCGTTGGAAGGTGCAAATCTCAAATTAAATCATTTAATTCGCTCTGGTTAAACACTTCGGGCTCTCTGATATCCGGTGTGAAATCTTGCGTCATTTGGGTTGGAATTATTGATACGGTAGATATCAGTACATCTGGTCCGCCCGGGAACCGCTCGAACAGCCGAGTTAACATTGGGATACACAATTTGGTTCTTTTTTTTCTGTTGTATCTTTGAAAATAACTCATCACCAACACCAAAGGTTAAACGTTTCTTTCTACCTTTTTGTCAGTTTCTTATTGCTTGAATGCAAACGGAACAAACAGTATGAGGAGCCCAGGACTTGTCTTGGTCGCCAATTTTTACACCAAGATGAGCACGGTATACATTTTTCACAAAAGAAGTTGTAGTTTGCTTTTGCTTTACTACGATATAACTACCACAGATAAAACAAGAGTTATTTGGATTGTTCGCACAATGTCGTTTTTCCATATTTATACATTCTAGAACATTAGAAATACGCAACAACGAAGAAAACAGCCGCGGACACAGGAACACACACGAGGAACAAGCTCTATTTACAAAATTGGATTCCCGTCGGTTTTTGTTGAGTCGAACTTGCTAACGTTTCACCAGTTGGCTTCTTCAGAGCTCGACTGAAACTGGCTCACATTTTAATCTGTAACTGCTTATATATTGTTTGACGGGGGCGGAGCTAAATGAGTTGCATAAACACTGTCTCGGATGACTGCGTCCCATATTGGTGACAGGTCTGGCCTGAGTCGCAGTTAAGATTGTTAGGTTGCTTATGGTTTTTGGACAAGTGGTAAATCTGGTTTTGACGTTATATTTCTTTAGAACTTTTGATATGTGGTCAGTGGTGTTTTGAATGTAAGAAAATACAACAGTGGCAAGTGTTGCTTTCGGCCTCATTGGTATTGGAAAGTTGTAGTGAAGTGAAAGAGGGAAGTTGCTTTAATTCTGGGTTCAGTGACTCGGAATTGTAGACTGTAAACAAAAGAGTTAAGGTATCGGTCTGTGTAGGTAGGTTTTCTGTAAATACAACGACCCCATGTTAGGTCTGATTTTCTATTGATAAGAATATCTGAAAATGGGAGGTTATTATTAGTTTCTAATTCAATGGGTGTAGAGAGTTTAAATATCTAAGAAAATCTACTAGGGATTCTTGACCATGAGGCCAAATGACAAAAGTATCATCGACGTAGCGCTTCCATAATTTTGGTTTCAAATAGAAGGTGTCTCTTCTCCAAAGACATCCATAAATATATTCTTGATGACTGGTGATAATGGAGAAGCAATAGCTGTTCCGGAAGTTTAAAAATTTGACCGTTATGAGGAAAATATGTTCTATATTCTCGGATTTTAATATATCTGAAATGATGTTGAGGGTTTCAGGAATAGGAACTTTAGTAAAGGGGATTCTACGTCGAAACCAACCAGAATATCGTGTGTATCTAATGTAATGCTTTTTAATTTAATTTAATTTAATGAAGTGAAAGGGATTAAGTACAAAACTACCAGTTTCACTGTAAAAGGTTTTAATATGCAAAAGTTCTATCTTCGATTCGGCAAAGACAAAATTCAACACAATATATAAGCAGGTACAGAGTAAAATGCGAGTTAGTTTCAGTCAAACTCTGATGATAGCAAGTTCGACTCAACAAAAACCGACGCAAGAGGAAGCCGGAAGCCTGTGGAAGTTTCTTTGAAAAAATATGATGAAGCGATATGGCGTGTTTTGGGGAAAAATGTCCAATAAGCGTTCGTTTTTCGAAGGCAATAAGGCGAAGCGACATTATCGGAGCGATGTCAAACATTCGTCATAAACTTCGTGAGCGTACGCGCGCGGAAGTTTCGCACCGATTACACACTCGCACACACATACACACGCGCGCACACCTATGTCGGTCGTCTCGAAGGTCGCCGTGCCGCGAAAACCCGACGAATTATTTTAAACCGGGCCCGCGGAGCGTCAAACGTCAGTATCGTCGCAGTGGTCGTACGACGTCGTGTTATACGAGGTGTGCGCGTCGGGTAAACACCTGCGCTTATCGCGTTCGCAAACGATAAGAAACCACTCGCGCGATCTTTGCCTTTGGGCGTGCACCGACCGAGACGTTTTCCTCCAGGCGACGCCGCGTCGACTTCCCTCAGATGACGTCCCGATGGCCAAGCACCACGACAAACTCAAGAAAGCGTCGAGACCGGTGCCCAACCTCATCCCCATACCTTCGAAGGGCGTGTCCGCGACGATGAGCCAGGCGGTCATCAACGACATCTGCTCCAAGTCGGCCAACAGTTCCTTAAAGGACCTCGCGTCCCTCTTCGGCAGCGAGGACGTATTCAAAAGGGACCCCCAGCAGCAGCCCAAGGTGGTACCCGACCTCATCCCTGCCGCGCGTGCCGACTTCAAGCAGAAAAACGCGTCGTTCTTCGACAAGCTCAAGGAGAAGCTCGAGTTGGGAGGCGGTACCTCCGCGTCGAACCTCATTTGCAATCTGTGCGGCCACGAGAGCAAGTGCCTCACGGAACACGTGAGGCATCAGAACGCGTGCGGCAACGAACCTAGGAGCTGCGGCGTGCGGAACCCGCCCCGCCTCTCGAACCTGGGCGGTTCGAGTAGGTGCCAGTACTGCAGGCAACGTTGCAAATCGACCGCAGACCTCTACAATCACGTGATGACGTGCGCGGAAGCTCTAAGATCCGTCGAGGAGGAAGACTTGAAGCTCGAGCCCGTGTCCGAATTGAAGATCGAAGACGTGGAGGAAGAACAAGAGGAGGTAACGGAGGAAGCGGCAAAACAGCCGCACCCGATGGAGAACAAAGTGTTCGTGTGGAATGATATCGTGGTGCCGATGGACCTCGAGGTGGACGACTCGAATTACGAGTACACGGACGACAGGGGCGACGAGACGTCGCTCGATCTCTCTATAAGGACCCAGGTGCCGGAGAACAACAACAACAACAATATGGTGAAAAACCACGCTACGGAGAAGGTGGCGACCCACGGCAACGACATCAGCACCGCGCAGCACAAGCGGGTGTTCAAGTGTCCTCACTGCACCTTCTGGGCGTCCACCGCGTCCAGGTTCCACGTCCATATCGTCGGCCATCTCAACAAGAAACCGTTCGAGTGTTCTTTGTGCTCGTACCGATCGAACTGGCGCTGGGACATCACCAAACACATCAAGCTGAAGTCGGTGAGGGACCAGGCGCACGAATCGGCCCGGGTACTGATGACGGACGAGACGGGCAGACGAAACTACACCAAGTACAACAAGTACCTGACGGAGATACCGTTGAGCAGTTTGCATTTGTCGTCGGAGACGAGCGGCGGCTGCGGCACCAGGCCAAGGCACCTGGAGAAGGTGCCGTCGTCGCCGACGAGGTCGGAGAAGAGGGCAGGGTCGCCGGTGGAAGCGGCGAAGGGCGCCGCGACGACGACGGAGAGGAAGAGGTCGTCGGACGCCAAGAGGATACTGTTCAAGTGCAAGAGGTGCAACTACAGGTGAGCGTGAGACTAGGCTAATACCGGGAAAAAGTCAAAAAATATTGTGAAATAGTTGGATAGTTGCGGATAAGGGTTCCGATTTAAAATAAAATATATTAGATATATTTTGGTTCCACCGGAACATAACTGATGTTAATCTAAATTTGTTTAACTGGTGATTTATTTAAGCGTTAGTCGAAAAATTAAGATAATTTTTAGATTTGTTTTAGTTAGATAGGAATTTTAATGGAAAATTCTTAAACTAGTATTTTTTTTCTATGCGTTAGTTGAAAAGTTATAAGCCATTTCCCATGATAAAGATTTACGTAAATATAAAATAAACTATCGGGAAAGGGTTCGATAATCTCAGTTTCATGATTTTAATGGAAAATTGTTAAGCTGGTAGTATTTTTTTACAAGTTAATTGAAAAAGTTTTGTATCATTTTCCATAACGAAAATGTATGTGAATTTAAAACGAAATATCGGGAACAATTTTGGATTAATTTTGGTTAATTACAAAAAGTAAGGGGGACGTGGAAAATCGTTAAATATGTTATTTCATTGCTTTTATAAAAATTGTGGAAATGTGTGTAACAAATTACATATATCGTAAAAAATTCTGGTAATGGAACACTTTTATACTTTATTTTAAAAAGCGACTACTCATCTTACAAACTAATCTGGAGATAACAAAAATATCGGTTAATGGAAAGGTGGAAAAGCAATGGTGGAAATGGAAAACCCGGAAATGTTAAACGATGGAATATAACTCCAAAATAGCACACAAATGTCTGCCACAATCTAGAAAATATTACGTAAATTTGGCATCCATTCATTAACAGGTCCGTACTTGATAGTTGACTATAGGTTGGAACAGTTTTTGTTTCGTTATCCGGTCGTACATATTTTAAATGCTGAGTGGGGTGGGGGTGGGGGCACTTGCAATATGACGCTTCCGATTGGGTACTTTTTTTTTGATAAAAATGGCGGCGGAGGGGAGGCAATGGCGATAAAAGAGCCAATAATAAAAATAAAAACCTCTTATCGCCTTGTCGTTTGTATTAGGTTAGTGAATTGTAGATAGACGAGAGAGAACGACAGGATTTTTTTTTATCTCCGCCATTACGCAATAGGTTTTCCTAGTAACGGATTCCAGAAAACCCGCCGTATTTACCTACGCTCGGTCACAAAAAAAACCCTTACAACGTATTCAAAATGAAAAAAAATCTTGAAAAAGGCAATAAAATCGAAATAATTTGATATAAAATACAGCCTTTCCTAATCATAGTCATAGTCATTTTCCGTTCTTCTTTTTTTCGTAGAAAACAAGGAAAACGACTATAACCGCTTGCTTTAACGTTACACAATATAACCGCGATTGTAAAATTTTTATGGGCTAGTCTGCCATTGCACGAACGAATTCGCCATCTTTCGAATAGCGTCACTCGCATGTATAAAACTGCAAATTAAATTTGGTTGCGATAAGCGCCCGAGCGGTCTATACAGGGCGTCATCTAATCGAATGTCGATAATTAAGATAGAAGATAAAAAGACAACAAGAAAAATATCATTATTTAGTGTACCAAAATTTTTTAGAAATATACCAGTGGCGGGCGTACGGAATTTCACATGTCTATGATTGCACGCCACTGATTTCTCTTAAAGTAAAAATTGTTCTTACAATATCTAAACCAATCCAATTTTTTGATTTTTTCAATCCGATGTACGGTTTTCGCTTAACAAAATGAAAACCTTCTTTCTGCATGGTCATAACGATATCGTTAATATGACGACATGCAGAGATATATTTTTCCCACCTAAAATAAAACATCTAGTTATTAGTTACCAACTAGTGTCCTTCAGAAAAAAATATATTAGAAGACTGTTTTTTTTTTACTGTTATAGTGTTAATGAAATAACATAACATCCTAACAACAAGATAAATAGTAAACGATTTTTATTTAAATTTGTTTTATTTATTTTAGTGTACGTACTTCGTATTCGTACTTCGATTTTTGGATATTTTCATAAAACTGATAGACAATTACAGAATTTAGAAATCATAATAATAATAATTCAATATCATATTAACAATATTTTAAACTAAAACCGTACATCGGATTGGAAAAAATCAAGAAATTAAATTTTGATTTAAGATTAAGATTTTTTATTTTAAGAGAAATAAATGGCATACTATATATATATATATATATATATATATATATATATATATATATATATATATATATATATATATATATACAGACGAATCATATCGTGAGCTTAAAAAAGATCCTACCTCAACTAGAGAACGGAACCCTACATCTGTTATTAAGGCTTCTTCTCTATTAGACTCCGTGAAAAAGTCTGTCACCCCTCATAACTCTAAAATTCCTCGTCTCTACGGACTCCCAAAGATTACCCCTTCGACCTATTGTCAACACCTTCTCGAACATATTCTCCAGCTTCCATATTAAAACCCTTTACGGGGAAAACTGTATTTAATTCCTTTCACTTCATTGAACAATTAAAAAGCATTACATCAGATACACAAGATATTCTGGTTAGTTTGGACGTAGTATCCCTCTTTACTAAAGTCCCTATTTCTCAAACTCTCAACATCTGCTCATTTTAATTGGAAAATGCTTGTCTGGAACATATTTTTCTCATAACGGTCAAATTTTGGAACAGACGTATGTCGACGATACTTTTGTTGTTTGACCTCATGGTCAAGAATCCTTAGTAGTTTTTTTAGACATTTCACAGAATTAAAACACCTTACTTCTGCTCTTTTCTCTAATAATTTCAACATCACAAAATACACTTCACCACAACCTTCCAATAGCAATGAGACCGAAATCAATCTCACACTTGCCACTGTTGCCCTTCCTTATATTCAAAACTTCACCGAACACATAGCAAAAGTTGTCTAAAAATCTCTCAACATCTTTGGAGAGACCGGACGAAAAATGTCAACCGGACTCAAAGAACGTGAAAGAGCCTTTGAACTAAGACAAATAAACTCATCAGCTGTTGCCGAACACACTCATCAAACCGGACATAAAATTTTACTCGATAAAACAAAAATTCTTCCATGTAATCAATTCGTCTACCAACGAAAAATGCGAGAGTCTATAGCGACCAAACAATCGTAACCGCGACTCAGGTTTTTACCTGTCATCAATATGCGAATCATCCGAGACGGTGTTTATGTCCCTCATTTAGCTCCGCCCCGTCAAATAATATATAAGCAGGTACAGAGTAAAATGCGAACCAGTTTCGGTCAAGCTCTGAAGAAGCCAACAGGATGATAGCAAGTTTGACTCAACAAAAACCACGAAGTTATGATTTTGAGGATTTGACAAAGATTTAATCAATTTTTCTGTATTTTCAAATAACTATTACGAATTTTACTGACTTTGATTAATAATTAATAATACAATTATTAAAATCAAAAATCTATTGTAAATAATTAATTGGACATTAATAGATTCATTTTGTTAATCTCCCTAGCTTCTAAAACATTTAGTTTTTTGCTTTTTGATTGTAATTAAACTTGTGAATTGCTGAATTTGAGTGAACGGTGGCACAGTTTGAATCTGAATTTTCATATGCTCTTTTGTTTGCGTTAATGCGTTTTTAGGACAAGATCCACATTTTTGTTTCTCCATCTCAATTATTATTTATCAATGCATTGCTATTAGAATTAGCAATCACATTTTTGCACTTATTTTGCGTTACAAGCTGACAGTTTTGAAGTTTTCCTAAGCAATTTTGCGATTAGTCAACCTGCAGCTAGCAGAATTATTAAAGAAGACAGTAATTGTAATGTCGGGTCGCCTATTGCTCGTATATATTAAGTTTGGCACCAATATCCTTCTATTTGCCTTAAACTTTTTTGTTTCTGCATTGCCCGACCTAAAAATACAGCATATTTCGATAGCAAAAAAATCTCATTTTACTTATCGGTATAAGAAAATGATGAAAGGAGTGGCACGCGTCTGAGACGTCGGTTATCTATGGTAGGTTATGTTCAACGCGTTCTTCTTCTTCGTTGTGGTTAAACCGGCCAGACGGCTATTATCCAATTGGCGACTTCGATAGCAAGGTTAGTCTTGAAAATGAATCTGGAAGAAGCATGCCAATTTATTGTTTAAAGTGATAACAATAATCAAATCCTCGACGTATGATTGTAAATAGAAAACCGGGGCTTATTTTATACGTAAAAATGTACCATTATAATTCTCACGCGCTCGCGTTACATAACCCCGCGGAATAATTACAATAATCGTTATTTATCGGCAAAAATTAAATGCCCGCGCTCGCACATAGTATTCATATTCGAAATTGGCGAGATTTCGGACCTTGAGCGCACGTATCGTAAATACCGTAATTTCGCAAAAAAAAAAAAAAAACGTTTTCTTCGGAATATTTTCACGCGAATTCGCCAGATAACGTTGTTAGTTCCGGCAAAACTCGCAGCGTCCCCTGTCGTGAATCATAGGTATTCGTTTTTTTTTTTCATCGATAGTTTGTCCGTAAAATTAACTACAGTTCCAAAACATCACCTGGGATATTTTATTATTAATTCGTATCTAATTCTTATTTTGTGGTTTTTCCTTATACGCTTTTGATTTTAAGTAATATCTGAGGATTTTGCAGGCCAGTCTATTGAACCCCTTATTCTACCAATCCACTGCCGTTTACATAGAGTAGTTAGGAATCAAAGAGTCGTTAATGAGAGCTGGAGATCGATGTACCTTTTCTAGAAAGTAGTTAGGAGTACAGTGAACACTTCGGCTAGAACCATTACAAAGAGTAGTTAGTAGGAACTGGAAATCGATGTAGTTAGGAATCAAAGAGTAGTTAAAGGAAGCTGGAGATCGGTATAACTTTTATACTCAGTCAGAGATCGTTGCATCTAATGCAGCTAGTTGTGGGAATAAGCAAAAGCTAACAAATCTGGTACGGTAAATAGCTAGGGAGAACTAGATTTGTCTATTACAAAGAATAGTTAGTGAAAGCTGGACGTCTATGTATCTTTTACAGATAGTAGTTACTAAGAGCTGAAGGACCTTTTGTAGAGAGTAGTTACTGAAGAGTTCGAATAGAACTATTACAAGGAGTAGTTGGTAGGAGCTCGAGATCGAAGTGTCTATTACAATTAGTAATTAATGTTAGGCAAAAACTAATACGGTAAATAGTTAGGGAGAACTAGAAGAGAATTTATCTATTACAAAGAGTAATTAGTGGGAGCTGGAGATCGATGTATCTTTTACAGAGAGTTGGTAGGAACAGGCGAAAACTAGCAAAGCTCTGGTGTATCTTTTGCAGTGTTCAGTGGATACCTTTGGAGAATTCTCGAACGATACTCCTATTGCAAAGGGTAGTCAATGGGAGCTAAAAATCGATTTATGTATGAGAGAGTAGTTAGGAATACGTGAAAACCAACAAAGCCAGTACAGTAAAGAGTTGCAGAGTTGGGTTTAAAAATCTTTCTACATTTTACAGATAACAGTAGTACAGTGAGTAGTTAGGGAAAATTAGGGAACAATTTATGTACAACAAAGAACAAAAGATACTTAATAGAAGCTGAAGATCAACATATCTTTTATAAAGAGTAGTTAGTAAATAGTTTTGAGGGAACTGGCGAACGATGTATCCATTGCAAAAAGTAAATGGAGTACAGTACTACAGAGAATAGTGGTTAGGAGGTGAAAATGTATAAAAACCGCGGGATCCTTTGTGTCGCAGGGACGCCTCAAAGGAGAACCTGCACCAGCACGTCAAGGAGCACTTCAAAGAGCAGTACAAACAGCAGCAGCAGCAGCAGCAGCAGCAACGTCAGTCAGACAACGAGCAGTACTATCGGAGCGAGGCGTTCACGCCATGCGAGGACGGCCTTGTTCCCGGCACCTCGGCCTCATATTCATCGCAGGATCTAAGTTTAAGGGGTACGAGTCCCGATAGAGACGAGGCAAGTGTAAATAACAGCATAGCGACGAAGGGTGTTCCACAACAAGCACCCTTTCGTTGCGGCCACTGTAATCAGGTCTCTAACTGGAAGCATGTCATTCAGGTATTACTAACACACGGCTTACTAACCGTACTAATTTTTTTTGTGTGTGTGTGCGCGCCCGTTCTGTGTTTGGCAAAATTTCGTACCTCATAGTGCATAGCCAAATTCTGTTTCGAGGTAACAATAATCGTGACTTTTGGCTAACCCAACCCTGTTTCTCTAAATAGCCAAATCATTCTGGTTCTCCGTGGTTTAGCCAAGTTCACGATCCTATCCTCAATTTGTATAATCTTCGCCTTCATTTATAGTTTAGTCGTGGGAAAATCAGGTATTTTGGACACCCGTTACCTTTGAAATCTTTGAGATTTTTACGATCATTGCAAAAGTAAGTAATCTTTCCTCTTCCATTTAAACCTATTTAAATTTAATCTAATTCGAAAACTATTTCAGTGGACATAAGTTAAATAGTTCAAGTCTGCCGCGCCAGAGCAATTGGGAGACAATTCTTCTTTTGTTGTTGTTGTTTAAATGCAAACGGGCCGCCCGCCCAACCAGCAATGTTGATAAATTCTTTTGCAATAACCATTATTGGTGATATGAAACGGAATGACATCCTGTGTGTCCATATTGCTATTCAACCTTAAGCTTTAAGTAAATCTAATTTAACATTTTTTAAACTTAGTGCAACTTTTTTTCGCGTGTTTTTGTTTGATATTTGTTGCAGATGGCAGCACGGAAATTTTGCCGGATCACGGATCAAAATTTTTGTACACCAACGCGCCTTATTCTAAAGATTCACCGCATTTTTTTTTTTTAGTGGGCTTGCATGTTTTATGGACTTGGAAATTTCGCACAAATATTTAGCTCCCACCAATTTTGAGTGATAAATTTATTATTAGTGTTTAAAAAAACTGTTTTAAAATTCTTAAATAGAACTTCGCTTAACTTCAATAGGGATGTTTTGTTCGAAGGGATGTAATGACATTTTATATTCGGCGGTTGTGTTTTTTGTTCCTTTGCTAAACGAGAGAAAACCGAAAAGAAAAAAAATCAAATAAAAGGTACGTCACAAATGACTTTTATATCGACTAAAAATCAATGTTATCAGAATTATATCGCTGCGTGTTTGAGCCTGAATATGGGGACATTCTAATGTTTTGTGTGGGGGTCTTGTCACAGTGAAGTGGTTAGCTTGTTTACAAAATATTTCGTGTCTGGTTACATCACAATATCCGCAATTTAGCTTTGTCTTGAGATGTCTACTTAAAGTGGGTCACTTCCAGTATTTTAAAAGATATATGTTAAGGTGTATAGAGTTTAAACGAGAAAATGTAGTAGAGATTTTTGACCGTGAGGCCAAATCACAAAATTGTCATCAACAACGTGTTTCCATAATTTCGGTTTTAGATCTATAGAATGTCGAGAGGTTTCTTCTTCCGTAAATATATGTGATTGGTGATAATGGAGAACCCATAGTTTCCGGACAAGCATTTTTGAATTAAGATGAGATGATTTGGTTCCATATTCTCGGATTTGAATATATTTGGTATAATGTTGAGAGTTTCGGGAATGGGCATCTTTTTACGTATAGATTGATTTGAAATGGACGAAGTTGGAACCTTTTGTCAAAACTGGCTGACAAAGCGATGATATGTTTATCACAGTTTACTACAATTGTAGCCGCAACAATAGGATCGAAAGGCATTAAACGCACTTTAGATCTAAAATACGTCAAACAATAGTAACTTTTATGGAGACAGCGGTGGCTACAGTCGGAACCGTCTTACTCGTCGCCTCCGCCAGATCCCAAATCCGCCAGGCATGCGTGTTCCCTAACAAAAATCTGCTTATATACCGTTTGAGAGGGGCGGAGCTAAACAATTTTTATCCTTGACACATCGAAGATATTGAGAGATTTTTGGACAAGTGGCAAATCTGGTTTTGACGGTATATTTCTTAAGAACTTTTGATATGTGTTCAGTGATGTAGCGAGACCCTGAGGATGAGACATTTTAAAGTCATGATGGAGAAAAAGTGTTAATAATAGACTTAAGGTTGCAGTTTCTTTGTTTGCTTTTAGAATTAAATTGGAACCTTGTACCAGAATCGAGTTTTCCGTGTCAGAAAGTTGGCGCAATGATATATTTACCATAGCGTTCGGTGTTAGTTTTCCAATTAACTCTACAATTGTAGGCACAAGAATAGCAGGCATTAAACGCACCTTAGATTAAAAATAGATCAAACTATTATCACTTTTATGGAGATAATGAACAATAAGGTGGAAAGTAATCAATGCACGAACTTACGTTGCTCAAACTACGCTGACAATAAGCCGTTAGTGTATAAAAGGTTTGTTTGAGTAGCATATTCGGTTGTTGTCGTTTTTTTTAATTGCGAAAAATATATCGAGGGTTTTTTTTTAATTAACGAAGCGGCGTCCGTTGCAGCGCCACTGCCGGCTAAAGCACAGTGGGGACATAAGGGTCGTAAGCAATAGGAACGGACACGAGAAGCTGGAGGTTGACGAGCAGCAGCGGCTGCAGTCGGAATCGTCTTGCCCATCGCCTCCGCCAGATCCTAAAACCGAACACGCGTGTTCCCGCTGCGCGTATACCGCTGCCGGAGATCGTTTGCTGCGCGAGCACTCCAAAGTCCACGACGATGCCGCGTCGTTCAACGAGCCACCGCTGGTGTGGGTGTCGCGCGACGGCAAGTTTTCGAAAATGTTCAAGTGCCGCCGTTGCCCGCACGTGAACGTACGCAAAGTGAACGTGCTCGAGCACGAAAAGATGCACGGCGACGGGACGGACGAGCACCGTTGCGCCGAGTGCGACTACGTGTGCAACAACGCCGGCGTGTTGTCATCGCACGCGAAAGTACACAGGGGCGTCGCGGGCACCGTTCACCGTCTCGTTGACCCGGGACGGAGCGACGACGAGCAGCTGCGCGAGCTACGCGACACTATGGAGGCGCAGCTCCGGTTTTGCGGCGAGTGCCCCGCGCGGTTCCTCAAACGCGCCGAGTTCGACATCCATGAGACGCTGCACGGGGCCCCCTACACTTACAAGTGCCCCCTGTGCACGTACGCCGCCCAAGACGAATCGTACCTGCAGACGCACGCGAACGTCCACGGCGACGATTATCAGCGACGTTCGGACGCCCTCTGCGAGCGCCACGACGTCTGCGCGGATCACCCGAGACCCCAGACGCGACGCGTCGGCGCCTATGTCGTCGTCGTCGCTAGAGAATCGCCGGCGGACGTACCCCTATCGGGCACGGAACTGTTTCGAAGACGCGAGGCTCTCGCCGCCGGAAATCCCGATTTCGTGTACGGGACGTGCGTGAAAAACGGCCGCGCGAAAGAGAAACGTTACAAGTGCCACAAGTGTCCGACCGCGTTCGAGAAACGCGAACAGTACAGGGTCCATTTGGGGCTGCACGGCGCGAAGCAGCGTTACAGTTGCGACTCGTGCGACTACTCGGTCAAGTACTACGCCAATTATGTGCAGCACGTGAAAAAGCACAGAACGAGCGACGAGGCGGTGCAGCGGCGGGCCGAACTGCCGAAGGCCGTCGCGCCAAAAGTGTTTTGGTGCGCGAGTTGCCCGTACGCGAGCGGCCGCAAGGATGCGGTCGAAAACCATCGGAAGAGGCACGGATCGGCGAGCGCCTACGCGTGCGAGCACTGCGACTATTCGGCGCCTCAGGCGCACTTTTTGCGCGATCACGCGCGGCTGCACTTCGCGCCGCGCGACGCCGGCCCCGCCCCCGACGCGTACATGGCGTGCGACGGTCTGAGGTTGACGACGGACGCGGGGTTGGTGTTTTCCGGGACGGAGGGGGCGGAGTGCGCGCCCCCCGTCGCCGACGACGTCGCGGAACGGTTCAACAATAACGCGGGCGAGAGGCGGAGCGTCGTCGACTCGAACTAACCAAAAAAAAAAAAAACGGTTTGCCTTCTACACGTAGACTGTCATAGAGTATTTTTTAAACGAAAAGTATTTTCACACACACACACACATACACCCACGTTTAACCGCACGTCGCGCCATTTTTTTTCCCGTAGCGTATACTTACCCAGCCGTAGTCGTTAGTGATGTTACCCGCTAATATTTTTACGTTACAGAGTATTATTTTATTTTTCAAGTTGTTTGTGGGCAGGGGGGTCTTAACGCCAAAGCATTTAATGCCAAAATTTGCCATACTTATGTTGTTGTTTATTGTTTTCACACAAATATATAATTTATCGAGGCGCGTTTTCATTTTCCCCGCCCCCAAACAGACGTTCGAGTCTGATCTACAGCGTGCGCCTATGGTCATGCTACGGTGAAAATTGATGCATTGCACGCATCGTTTGCTGTCCAGACAACGATATTCTCACAACATGTAGGCATATTTTTAAAAAACAGCCCTAAAAATGCCGCATTCAAATTTATTGACGGTTCATAAACCCCTGTGTCTCTGGTAGTATTACATAGTGGCGCGTAAATATTGATGCCTTTCATGCTACTCAACAGGGATATCCGCACACCTAACGTATTTTGGGAAAAAATGTCGCATAACAACTTATTGACAATCTGTTGGCGGCCATGTTGGTTATGCAATTGCCCTTTACGTAATTTGTGTCATAAGGTCCGTTGCATATGACCATTGGGCCAAATTTGTTTCCGTGTCTCCTGCAGCATGGCTATATGATCTATGGTCCGTACTACCATTACAATCACAATATTGATACTCACGAAAAATGACAGAATAACCATATCATACTCACAAACTTGGGTAATTACTACTTTCTATACGAAAACAGTATTTTTTGAAAAAGCTCCTTTACACCTCAACTCTATTTTGTCTGAAGATTGAAATATCGCAAAAATATGTTATTCAAACTTATTTACAATGTATTGGCAGCAATGTTGATGCTTCAATGGACCTTTTCCTGTGTTAAAAAGACACATTTTCCATCTCTGCTTGCTAAACGAAACTTTTTATATCCAGAAAGCTCTGCACGCCTCAACCCCCTTTTATCTAACTATTTAATAGGATTTGGACGTATTCTGAGAATGTACTGCCGATCACTCTCTTGCAACTTTCAAAGGTTAAGTTGTGCTAAAAGAGTGTAGATTTTACTTTCGAATGCACTATTTTACATTAAAGGAAACGAGGGAGTTTTATTGAACTTCTGCTGAAGTGAAATTTTACACCTAAGGAACTAGATCGTCTTTCGAAACCCACAAATCCCTATACTATCGTTACACTCATAGAGACTCAGATAGACTAACGCTCTCCATGCCTCAGCTCCTTTTGGTCTGGAGATTTAGCGGAATCTGGACAAACTTATAGATATAAAGTTCTAAAAATTAAATTAAGTAGGCAGCCGAAAATCTTGCTTTATACGTGGAAAATATTTAAAAATATATTTTCGGATGTACACGATAACTCAAATGAACCTGTGTTGCATAAAATGAGAATTTTTTTTATTTAGCAACAGTATAAGCTATATCATATTTCTTTCTCCCTTTTTTTGTGTTTCTAATCATAGATAAAATATCAAACTTTATCCAGCTAAGTGAGGACGGTGAAAGAAGAAGACGATAAAAGAAAAGTGACAGAACGCACGCTGGTGCAGTGACGTCACCCGTCCCACGCGCAACAAATTTCGAGGGTAATTTTTGAGCACTACGTAAAAATCAAACAAGTTCGGCTATTAAACCGTAAACTACTTTATTAAAATACTTTAATTGTTATTTCTTATGGACTACATCCGCAACTATTATTGCACTCGCATGATAGCACACATATTGCCATTGCCAATTGTTTATATATAACAATTCGTAAACACTAAAAAATATTTGGAAAACAAAGCACGAATGCTGCGGTTGTACGTCACAGACCGATTATTAACTTTACGTCCCTGTCCAGAGTTAACTGTGAAAAATACCTTTCTGTGTTTTGACAGTGCTGGCGCCAAATTTTATTTCCTAACCTTCGAAAGTGGACAAATAAAAGATACCGTTGCAGTCGTTCTAATTTGCGGGGATAATGATTGGGGCGACTACGAGGTCATCGGCTAGAATCGCCACCCTCAAAAGCTCACGCCAATTAGTCGAGAGCGTTTGCAAAACTCCGCGGACCAAACCGAAGAAAAAAGCGGACGACGCGGAAGAAATCGACTCGTCGACACCACCGAAACATGCGAAAGTTGAACCCGCGGCCCGCTCAGACGATATTCCGACCTTTTTATTGGAAAACTTGGCTATAAGGAGCCCCGAAGGGGGACGGATTTCGAAGCATATCTTATATTCAGACGACGTAGAGGTTACAGTGACGAAGGAAAACGACGAAAACAACCACGATAGAAAAGGATCTGAGTACGATGAGGCCCGGAGGGCGTTACACAGTTGTGCTCCCAGCGAGCTGCCGGGCAGGGAGACGGAGATCGAGGAATTAAGTAATTTTATTCAAGAACATGCGAGTACGGGCACTTCGGGATCGATGTACGTCAGCGGCCCTCCGGGCACCGGCAAGACGGCTACGCTCAACCTAATCCTCCACAAGGAAAGTATTCGGTCGAAAGTACAAGCCGTGTATGTGAATTGCACTTCTATCAAGTCCGCTCAGGCCGTGTACTCCAGAATAGCGAGGGAGCTCAAAATCAACGTGCAAGGGAAACCGCAGAGGGATTATTTGGGACTGTTGGAGAGGTATTTGACCCGGACACATAAAACTGTGTAAGTGTTTTTGTATGTATCTTGCCGGGATTATCGACAAACCTCTCTATGAGTGTTAATTTTAAAATGCAAGCATTGCTGCTGATTATTTCTCATTGTAGCGTTTTGCAATTTGCATAATATCCTGCTGAAGCTGTGGTCATCTGATACGACAAAAAATTAATTTTAAATGATTATTGCATCCTAAAATTTTGTAAGCAGAAAAAAGTTGTCGGTAGTTGTCAGTTTTAGTATTCCCAAGAAAATGATGACATACATTTACAAAAGCCACCCAGCTCTTCTTTATGCTTTGTTCAACTTCGAATTAAAAGCTCCATCTTCAATTTTGCGTCACTGATTTTGAAAGCCTGCACCATCCTTGTTCAAAGCTTTCACAAAGTTTTTCATGAGTTCCAAATTTATCTGAAGTGGTTGTAGAAAAATTTTTGTTACTTTGTACTAAAAGTTGATGAGACATATTTTTGAGCCCAGTTCTTTCTTTCTGGTCAAGTTTGTTAAGTTAAGACTTTGTAATGTTTTCCTTTTGCGCGGCTGTCCCACTCGCATAGAAAACAAAACTTGATGTATGTGAATTTTTCTGGAAAACTAAGTTCTTGAAGAAGCCCGGCAGCATCATTACAATATGTAATGAAATCTGCTTGCCTTGAGACTCTTGTACTTTTAGCCAACAAATTCCACTGCTTTAATCTGGATCTGAGTAATTGTGCTTTAGAACTTAAGAGCCCCTAGCCTCTAACAAGATCATTTAAATCACGTTGTTTAAGGAAATGAGGTTCTTTTGATGGACCAGATCCAGATAAAGTGTGTAATAGTGAAGAGGTACAGGCAGAAATAAAACTAGATTGAGGCTGTTGATCGGAAATATTTTTATTTTCCATCTTTTTTTTTGATGAAATGGAGGCGATGTTCGGATATATAATCTTATTTTTATTTGTTTTTCGAGAATCCTGGAGTTGATGTCATACAAAATTGGCAATCATTTTCATGATTCTGGGGTTCACTCCAAAGTATTGGCATTGTAAAAGGCATGGATTTGTGACGACCTTCAAGCCAAGCTCTCAGTGTTCTTGAGCAACTGTTGCAGCATATTTTTGGCAGCCAACTTTTATCCCTCTCATCGATAGAAAATCTGAAGGTGTTTTAACAAGGTCGGTTAAACAGCATTTGGCTGTATTTTTAGACTAAACTCGCTACAAATGTAGCAAAAACAGTCTTTCGAATTTTTACAAGTTAAAATTAAATAAAATTTATTTTAGAAAAATTTTCAAATTGTTATTTTATATTAATCGGCTCTGTTCATGGAAAAATACATGAACTACGCATGAAATACTTAACAAAAATATAGAGAATATAAACTTTACTAACTATTGCAAAGTCACAGCGAATACTACGCAAGTACACTTCCCTTCTTTATCTTACACTATCTATTTAAACGAACATTTACTAAAAACCCACGTTTCATCATTGAATACGGTGGTATAATCGTCTTACTATTTACTACTGCGTCGGTTATTCGTGACGTTTCGCCAATCATTAGATTCGTCAGAGGTTAACAAGCAGAAGCTTATCTGCCTTTAATATTAGTCTATTTGAACTAAAGCATGCCGCAACGGTTGGATAAACGCGGTTTCCGTAATGCTTTTTGCAGCTTGCTGATACTCGACGAGATCGACCAACTGGAGACGAAAAACCAATCGATTTTGTACACGTTGTTCGAATGGCCTGCCAAACAGGGCTCGAGGCTCGTTCTGGTGGGCATCTCGAACGCTCTGGACTTGACAGATCGCACTTTGCCCCGCCTACAGTCCAGGTGCGACTTGCAACCGAAACTGGTGCATTTCGCGCCCTACACCAAAGATCAGATCATTAAAATTTTCACGTCCAGATTGGAGGCCGCGGGAGCGTCCAAAGTGTTTTCAGCGCCCGCGCTTCAGATGCTGGCCGGTAAAGTAGCGTCCGTTTCGGGCGACATTCGCAGGGCCCTCGATGTCGGTAGACGCGTCGTCGAGCTCATCAATCAGGAACAACAGAAAGTGCTCAAGTCCGTGGAAAACGTCACCCTTCCCAAGACCGTCCACTTGAAAGAGGTGACGAAAGTGTTGAACAACGTGTACGGTACTACGCAGCACTTGTCCGATGGTGCGGACGACACGTGGCCGTTGCAACAGAAAATTGTGGTGTGCGTTTTGCTCCTGATGATGGACCAGGCGAAAGCCAAGATCGTGACGTTGGGGAGGTTGCACGAGGCGTACAGGAAGGCGTGCGCGAAGAGAAACATCCACGCCATCGACCAAACAGAGTTCGTCGGTTTGTGTTCGCTGATAGAGTCGCGTGGCATCATCAAAGTGAGCGGCAAAAAGGAGCCCAGACTGCACAAGGTCACCTTGGAGTGGAACAGGAGCGAAGTTGTCGACGCGCTAAGAGACAAGCAACTGATGTCGGCCATTTTGCAGGACCGAGCTCTGGTCAAGTGATACGTTTTACGGTTTTTCTGCACTTCGATTTCGTACGGCGTTGATTTTATTTATTGAGTAGTAAATACGATTTGTTTTTAACTAAGACCGTTGATTCATTTCGCCGAAATCTACCCCAGACATCAATATTACGGTTGATTATATTGGGTTTAGTCTATACTACTTTTATACAAATCTAATATTTAAGAAGTTATTCTATATGTCAGATATTAGTTATGTTTATAACTTTAATACTCTTGGAAGGCTGATAGCATATATAAAAAGTGTTATTAGAACTGCGCAGCGTCCACGGATAAAAGTGATGTTTTAAGATTTGTTTAAACTTCGATTAATTTGGTATTAATTTTTTTATTCAGTAATAAAAATGATTTCTTTTAATTAAGATCTTTGTGTCATTTCGATGAAATTAATCCAAAAAGCCAACATTACCGTTATGATACTGTAGTTGTTTGAACCATGGAATTAATACGGTTGTAAGGCTCATAGAGAGAGTAAATAAAAAGGAGCGTCTTAGAACTACGTAGCATCCACGGATAAAAGTAGAATGTACTCAGATTTTTTTAAACACCGATTTGTTCGGTATTGATTTTACTTATTTAGTAATAAAAAGGACTTCTTTTTCTTCGCTGAAGTTAATCACAAAACCCAAAATTATCGTCTATTATACTCTGACAGAGAGGGAAATCCTCCACGAACTGTATATAAAAACTCACGGCCATTAAACCTACGCAATGTGATACATTAAAAAAAAACACTTCGATTGAGTTCAGAATTGATTTTGTTTATTGAGTCACGGAGAGGATTTCTTTTTAACTAAGATCGTCGTTTCATTTCGCTGGAAATAATCTCAAACGTCAATACAACTGTTCGTTATACTATAGTTGTTTGATCTGTTTGAACCATAGATTCTAAATGTCGCGCATGCGCATGTTGAATAGACCTTATTGAAATGTCTTCATTTTTGCTTCATAAGATCCTGTATTACCGACATAGGCAGGGACTTTATATCTTTAGTAGCCTAGTAGCTATACGACTAAAAGATTCATAGAGGGAGAAATCCACCACGAAGAAAGATAGGACATAATATATGAAATAAAAACAGCGTTATTAGAGAACTACTGATTAAAACGCAAACACAGGAAGTGACGTACGTCATATACCTTTTTTTCATTTTTGCTGTAACATTGGTTTTTAAAATAGATTTAAACTAAATTTTAAATTTTACTTGAGATACATTACCGTTGCAACAAATTTGGATCTCTTCTGTAACCTCGTATAATTTGATATACGCAATGCAATAATCTGATATTGGCACTCATCAATCAAATATGGCATTCTACATTTCAGAAAAACGAAGTAATGCATGAAACAATAAATATATTTGCGACACACACACATTAATTACGTAGTGAACTGTAACAAAGTAGAATATACTTACGGCGTCATCCATTATTGTCGTTTTCGCAAACACGAACACAACACCAAAGCATGTTTCACAAACTATAGTTAATAAAGTTTAAACTGTAACGTCCAAAATTAAGTGAGGTGTTATAATTCACAACAGTTTCAACTTTCATTTGTAACGACGTCTGCTACAAGCCGTTGCAGTGCAAATCGCAACAGATTTGTTCGCTGTTTTAAATTAACAATCTATTTCTTTTCACTAGCTGTAAGCCGCTCGGCCAAAACACATCAACTCATTTGCGGAAGAGGAGAATCGTACACAAACACACTAACCAGATTTTATTGAACAAATTTATACAATTTAATAGTACGCAACATTAGTTATTGTCCGAAAATTTCGTGGAAGACGTTTGGCAGGATTTTCATTTGATTTTTAAGTACTTATTAACAATAACAACGGGTAAGTGCAAGTTTTGAGTTGGTAACGGATGTTTCCAGTCATAGACCACACAAAAATAATAACCGGAACTATTTAAGATTCTGACAGCAATTGGCGGGCGGCCCCGGTGAAGTTACCCAACGTGGTGTAAAATGAAGAATAAACAGAATATATTTGACTGGTGCTTAAAAACGTGAATTATTTTTTACTGGGCCGCGTTACCAGCGCATCGGAACCCCAAATTCGCGGACGAACTGTCTTTCGTGTTGAAAGACCTGGCGGCGCAGCGGTACCTCCAACAGAACGCCTGGTGGCACATAAACGACCCCCCTTTTTTCACTTTGGAACTCTTGAAAAGGGAAAAAAAAAATTACTGGATTTTTTTTTAGGTTAACTCACCGGATCGGCCTGCCAGTCGTCTTGCGTCCACTCCCACACGTTACCTGCCATATTGTAAAGGCCGAAATTATTGGGCGAAAACTCGTCAACGGGACAAGTAAACTTATACCCGTCCTCTCCAGTGTTTTCATGGGGAAACTCTCCCTGCCAAATATTGGCCCTGAAACGTGGTTATAGTGAACCATACTTCGCGGAAGGGGGTGGGGGGGTGTTTTACCAATGTTTGCCCTTAGGATTGAGTTTGTTACCCCAAGGGTACAGTTTTTGGCGCAGACCGCCCCGGCAAGCCATTTCCCATTCGGCCTCAGTCGGTAACCGTTTGCCCAAATATTTGCAGAAGGAAACCGCGTCGTTCCAAGAAACGTGCACCACCGGATGATTCATCCTGTCTAAATTGCAAAAAACCAATCGATTCAATTAACCAAACAACGATAAGGGGTGATTATTGCACATTGTAATCATTTACCCCATCTAACTTTTTTATTCTATATTTTATATATGTTATTTTATAAAAAGAGGTTCTTTGACGCTAATTTGAAAAATATAAAACATGCCATAGTTATTCTTGACACTAAGGCCGCAATTATCAAAAAACAAAATTGTCACTCAGTTGGCCATGGATCAGCATGGCGTCATGTCACCGCCACGTCTTTGGTTTAATTATGACGGCTGTGGGGTATCTTGAATTCGAAATTCGATAAAAGAATACCGTTTTGGGTTGACAAGGAATTCGGAATATTATCGTTGTAGAAAAAAACGAGAAAAATGCAAGCAGGGCCAACGGGAGTTTCCAAAAAAATTTGAAGGACTTTAAAAAATGAAATTTCACATAAGCGTTTTGTAGACATATATTGCGAAAAATCCACGGTTTTTCCATACAATTTTCTTTGTGGGGTATTTAAAAAACAAAATTTATTTTGAGACATGAATCACATTAAAGAACAAAGTAGGAGTGAAATAATTAATATTAATGGTTTTACGTGCTGACTGAACAATTAAAGCTTTAGATAAGTTAAAAACTGGGTATTCAGAAAAGCATTAGCGGAATATTCCTCATCAATAAAGTGCTGTTTATATGTTTGTATTATGTGTATATTTATGTAATATAGTCACCAGCCTTATTTGCATTTCTGTTGTTTTTTAAATATTTTTATCTATATTTCGACATGCCACACTATCATAATTAAAAAAAGAAGAGAATTGCGATTAACGTCTGGAGGCATAGCCAGCAAACTGATTAATTCTTGACTAATTCTTAATGTAAAGAAAAACTATAACACGTGGCCTATTTTTGAAATCAGCAAAAAGTTACCTTCCAAATTTAAAAAATACAATTTGTTATACCATGTCTTTTTGGCACAAACTTTTACCTTCAATGGTCGTTCTGGGTCCTTCCGGATGCTTCCAGCTGACGTCTTTCATTTTAATCCACCACGGGGCCTGCGCCGCTCTGACATCCTGATACCCCGATCTGCTTTCCTCGGGCAACGACATCTCCAAGATGAAACTGTCGCCGAACATCTCGGCCTCCGTTTCGTAGCCAGTCGCTTTTACGAAATCGTAAAAGTTTTGGTTCGACACTTCGTACTTATCCAGGAAGAAACTTTCTACTGAAACATTTCGCACCGGCCCCTCGAAATCGTCGACGAAGACGGGCTTGTGGGTGCCCATTTCGAACGTCCCTTTTTCGATCAGTACCATGTTGGCGGTGTCGAACGCCTGTTTCGCGTTCAACTCTGCCGAATATTTTTGCGAGGCCCGGATTTCGTTGGTCAAAACATTGCACCGCCCCCCTCGATTCAAGTCGCACCCGCAGTCGAATAGACAACCAGCGAATAACGAATTAAGTACGTTCAAGAAAAAAATAGGTTTCGCTAAGTACATCTCACCGTCAATCATGTGATTCGTTCAATAACATTTTTTTCCATCGACGCTTTTGTAGGTTAAAAATTAAATAACAAAAACACTTAACCTAGAACTGAAGGTTGTGAAAAAAGTTTTTAAAACTGGGCGAATGACCCATGCAATTTTGCCTAACGAAAGAAGAAGAGAAGTTGTTTTGATCCGGGCTGACGGTGTAAAATCACCTGGCTGACATATCAACGTAAATTTTGATATGTGATTTAAACACCATCGACGAAGAAGCTATTTTGGCAATTTCGTTGACTTTAACCAACGAAAACATTTCGATTCGTTAGCTTTCCGTGTTTCGTTCTCGCCTCGACCACAGAACGCGGAATTAGTGATTTGTCATTTTTTGTTATTGATTTTGGGATATTTTAAATGAACCTTTTTCGCCTGGCACGCGAATAAAACGGGAGAAAAATGGGGTTTTATGACTTCATAAATTTCGTAGTATACGATAATCCACTGTCGAAGTCGGTCACGTCCATGGTCATAGTAAGTACCAGGGATTTATTTTGCGACTTGTGGAGCTACGTAATAGTTTCGATTTTAAGGGCAAAAAGGGCGTCGTACCAATACCCAATGTAACAGTAATCACCGAAAAATCGCCCCTATGGAAGTTGGCCCGCGAGGGGGGCCCATTTGTGAGGATCGCAGCCTTAATGGGGGCGTCCGCTGTGGCGCTGGGTGCTTATGGCGCCCATCGGACGTACGCCAAAGATAAAGAGGCCGAACTCAAGCAGCTATTCGAAACGGCAAATAGGTACCATTTCTTCCACAGTTTGGCGCTTTTCGCGGTACCGCTGTGCAGGAACCCGAAAATTGTAAGATCTTGAGTCACGTCCCCACAAGGCCTGTAAATTTAAGAATATGTTTCAGGCTGGTACCCTTATCATTTCCGGTACGGTTCTTTTTTCCGGCACCATTTATTACCACGCCTTTACCGGCGAGAACAAATTCGGAAAGTTGACGCCCTTCGGGGGCACAATTTTAATTTTAGGCTGGCTGTCGATGGTTATTTAAATGCATTTCGAGGCACGGCAGGATGCTCCTCATTGAACTATTGTAAATTTTAGGTTATAACTTCGACCCAGATGGTACTGTAAATGCAAACCCCTAGTCTCCGAGCCTCAGGTTGTTGAAATTTTTGTGTACATACACGTAATATGCTAAGTTATTAAATTGTAATTAAATTCGTTGACGTTTTATTGCTCGATCGATGAAAAACGGTACAAAATAAAGTCGTTTTAAATTATTTCATTTTAAACAGGGGAATACTCGTGCTTACTTTGGATTGCCATAAACAGATGGCGGGTGCGCCGGAATCTGTAAAGATATCTGTGATCTGTGCCCTGGCAAAAGCTTTTGTTGTATCCTCGGTTGAGTTAATTTTAATTTTATGGTCCGGGGTCGAGGCTTTCAAAATTTTTGCGTACATATTATAAAGTTATTAATTGTAATTAATTACATTGACGTTTCTGCAGATATTTTCGTTTTAACCTTCGACTCCCATTAACAAATTGTTCAGTACCCAGTACTTTTATCGGTGAAATTGTTTTTCCGCAAGTGTATGTCTCATCGTGTTTAGGTGAACGAATGGAAGTTGGTACGATATAATTCGGTAAGTGATGCAAAGGCGCTAAAGAAAAACGGCCTCGAGAATGAAAAATGTTTTATTTTTACAAAGTCGCGACATGTTATTAGAAGTAGTAACCTACAAAATAGAAAATCGATAGGAAACGTAAAAATAACCCTCGCATCGTCAGTTCCCTATTCGTTTTCGAAGCGAACGATAGAATATATAGTCAAGTGTTAACAACCGGGAAAATATCAATATCAACAAATCTTTCGTCGTCTAAAACGAAAGTAACAACGTTAAATAAATTATTGCTACGTTTTTTATTTGTTTTTTTTTTGAGTGATATGTCAAACAATATCGTGGACGCCACGAACATAACCTATAACTGTGCGCGTAAACTAATTTTAAATTTCCGAAACTGGAACAATGACCGTCGCGTCAGAACTGCTTCCGGATTTTGAAGTTAGGAACTCGACAGTCTCGGGGTAAAGAAAAACGTCGTACGTAAACTTCAAGAGTTAGGTTAGAAATTGATTTGGGACCTACTTATCAAGCTAAAATTTTAGAAAAATTTATAATTGTACCGATGTTTTGGTTACTATTCTTTTGTTCTCGCTATATAATATATATTTGTAAGTATAGTAAGGCAATTTCAATAATCGGTACACTGAAGCTTAGTAGTAAACGTCCTACGTAGTAAAATGTATACAAGTTAGGCGTAAACAGGATAACGTATTTATTTATAAGGTGTAATTAACGATATTGCAAGGAAAGACGTTTTTATTTATTAATTTTTGATCGGATGGTGATCCGATGCCGCCGAGTCATCCTACAGGAAAAGCTCTGTCATTTACGTAGACAATTTCTTCACGAATCGATCAATGACAATGGATACAAACTTTACGAATGTAATGCAAAAATATTATGCAACAAGTGCGGTAGACACCATTTGACTAACGAGTGACTTAAAAAGTCTACCGAACGTGTTGCATATTATACTTTTTCTACGACCGTTAGTTCTCTCTCTCTCTAGCTCTATTTCGTCAGAATTTCTTTTAAAAAAAGGATGAAACATAACGTCCAAATAGCGCGAGACATTTGACAGTTTGTTTCCTGCGCTGGCAGACGATCCGGGCGGCACCGATTCTTTTTATTCGCGTTATCAGAAACGGAACGCGATCATTGGTCATCGAAGCGGCGCGCGTTTTGCTTACATTTAATTCGAATTTTTAAAATGTGAAACGCGTTTCTCCGAGTCCCTTCGAGCAATTTCGCTATAAAACTAATATAGAGAAGACTTTATCGGCTAGAAAGGAAACGATCATGGCGGCGTCCGTCGATCATAACCGACAACGTACCGAACGACCCGGTTCGAAATGTGTTGGTAAAGAAGCTTGAAACGTCTCTACATGGTGTGGAGGTAACTGGATTTCATCAGTATGCAAGTTGTTCAATAATATTTAACAACTCGTAATCATCAATCGGCCGGCTTATCGTGGCTCTGTGAGCTGTGAGAAACAAGAGAATTCAATACAGCAGACTCGTTAAATACGCAAAAAGAGAATGCTGGACTTCATCTTCAGGGGAACACATGTTTTTAAAGGTAGTAGCCTAGCGGTTATCCGTGTTGGGGTAAACAAGCTGTGATTTAGAGGTCTATGATAAGCAATCGCCCGTGTATGAAGACAAAAAAAAACATCTTGCCGCCATATGGGTGACTTTTAATCCAACGTATTCTATCAAGGAATTACCCCCCTCACCCCTTAAGTGTTTTACATTTGTTTCGACACACCGTGTACGTAGGTTACGTTGCATGTTATGTTCGGCGGATCGTTGCGCCCTCTTCCACAACAGTGGCGTCGCGGCGAATTTTTTTTAACTAACTAGTTCGACGGCGGTGGCGCTTTGGAGAGCCGGTTTCGCGTCAGCGAAAACCGAAGTAAATTGATTGGTGTTTAAATTCGACCCTCGTACGATCACGGTTTTTCAAGCAGCCCGCGCATAAAAATTGAGATTTAAGTTGGAAACGCAATTAATTAAGATAAGCATTATAAAGAAATATTTTCGACGTCATTTCCAGTTGAATGCCCCGGATATTTGACGTTGAAAAAAAAAACGCTTCCTACTGAAAATTTGTTCCTCATATTTGGCAAAATGTTAAAAATAGGCTTAATTTTTGTGTTATTGTCGAAAATTAATCCGTAAACATTCACATTTTTGAAATTCGTTTTTTGCAGGTTGAACACCCTGTAACTTTAAGCGTTATCAAGTCCAGGATTTATTTCTCTATTAAACTGATTTAGGGTCTATTCCCCACCATATTCAAAGTAATTAGTTTTTTTTTCCTTTCACTATATTATTATTTATTTGTCACGGACAAGAGAACCTTGCAATTTTTCCTAGTCAGGTACGTGAAGGGAAAATGTTCAGCCGAATAAATACGATACAATCAAGCAGCCTAATTGGCCTAAAATGGCAAAAATATACGTTTTCAAGCTGGAAGCACATTTTTTTTTGTAAAATATGTTTAAAATTTCACATGGAATGTGAATTTTTAATAATCTACAGGGTGTTCGATTTGAAATAAACAATAAGCGATCTAACTGTGCGGGAACTTTAATTTTTATCTCATCGATTTTAAATTGAGGTGATATTTTTTGCACCTTCTCAATTGCCCGAGTATCAATTATTCGCGATTTTCGATGAAATCGAGATTTTCTTGAGCTCAATCTTCCCGACGCACACTTTTGTTTTTTATTTAAATTTATCAGTTTTCGGTTGGACCGCGTTCGCGAGTCCGGCTCAAAGTTCCGCTTAAAACGTATCCTAAGGTTATGTACATAATATATATATCATCGTAGTACGACGGCGCCCCTATCGTACAAAATCACAATCAATATTTATTGTACCAACAGCGAAATAGCTTGTTCAACAACGCCCTCTATAGCTACGTCGTTCTTGATCTACGGCGTTAATGTTATCTATCTACGACATTGTTGCGATTTAACTAAAGGACGGGGGGGGGGGCGTATTATTGATAGTAATTTAACAGCCTCCCTTTAGGTAGTAGGGAACGAATATTGGCTTCTTTTTCAACCAGAAAGACAAAAAAAACCAAGGAAAAAAAAGATAATAAATTTGGATAAAACGATCCACTATACGATCCGGAAACCCACAGGAGATACGAAAAAAGGTTTCTTGGACTTTAATGAAGATTTAGAATATTATAATTTCGTTGATACAGGGTGTCCCGAAAGTGTCCCCCCCGACATCAACTTTGTTATTTTAAATGGAACACTCTGTATATTTCGACATTTTCGAATCCTTGGTTAAGATAAAGGCCACTTTTATAAGAAATTCCTATTCAAATGTTCCATAGTTTAGGCAGAAATTGAGGTTATGTGTTTTTTTTTTAAAATTTGATTGTTCCATAAAAATATAAAATTGCAACGAAACTTGTTGCCAATATTAGGTATTCTTTAAATGGCAAAGACATGATACTATTTCTTTTAAAGATATAATAAAAAACCAATTGCTAACAATACAGGGTGTTCATTAATACGTGACAATTTAACATTAACATATTTAATAAAACATCAGAATTGATATTTAAAGAAAAATAAATAATTAAAGTTTATGGGCTAACTAAATAAATAAATCTATAAAAAAAACAGAAACAAATAACTAAAAAAAATAATTAAATATGGTGATTCTGTAATATATTTTCAATAGATTGCCCACAATGCTGGAGACCGCATTTCTAACCGCACCACTATTATGTATGGCAAGAATCTCTTGTCTATTTTTTCCTTTAATCAACTGTATAGCTATTTCGCGATTTATACACACGATCCTTTAAAGTGCCCAATAAAAAAAAGTCCATGGGCGTAAAATCGGGACTTCGCTGTGGCCACGCAATATCACTATTTTTAGCAATTATATTTTCCTTTTTTTACTCTTAAAAAATTATCACTTGATGACCACAATGATAGGGCGCGCTATCTTGCTGACATATAATGTTCTCCCGCAAGTTTTCAGGGACAAGTTGTTTACTTCTGGCATTATTATTTTAACCAAAGATTTCAAAAATGTTTGTGTCGGAAAGATACTTTTGGGACACCCTGTCAGGAGAGTTCAAGGAACTTTTGTACATGGCTTTCCAGATCGTATAGTGGATAAAAAAAATAAAACGGCCCACGATGTACAGCACTAGACATGTCAAGGGCTTTTTTCCATCTTCGGCCCTTTTGGTTTTTTTTTTAAAAGCAAATGCAGTGGCGTAATCGGATTTCTCCCACACTTCTCCAGTTCCTCATAAATGAACGCAACTTTCTTATTTTATATAGCAACGTAGATGTAGATTTGTGTTGAAAAAAACGGAAATAATTTTAAAAATAGACATAATTTTAGTGGCCAAATTTTAGTTTTCACTTCATTGAGCAATTTAAAATGTTAAGCGTACCCTACCCTCTCACTGACGCAACAGATCCTGGGAAAACTACTTTAAAAAACATAATCGTACCAGAAAAGTCCACCAATCACACACAATTAGATTATGAAGTGCAAAATGTGCGCCACTGCCTTTTTTACCAATTTCATTTTGGTTTATATTTTTTTTGAGCACATTTATTCCCTTATGGATTTGATAATTCGATTATTTCCACACCTCTATCGTTCTGAAATATTTTTAAGCTCGCGATGTTGCCGTTACTTCGAGGAAATGATTATTTTCTTCACTTAAATTACCGTGAAGCCGGTAGAGGGTTAAATTTCGGACGTAGTTTGGGAAGGTATCGAACAGAATTTCTCAATATCCAAATGAGTTCTACATTATACAAAAATTATGAAAAGTGCATTTTTTTTTAATGGAAGACCCTGTATATTATGAAATAATGTATGGTCCACTGAGAAAAGAAGAAGCAGAAAAACTACTCCCCCCTCCCATCCCATCATCCTCCTCCGTCACCGGAGTTGAATGGGTTCGGTTTGATTCAAAATTCACAGCGATTTTTTAAAAATTTTAAATGAGAACCTCTTCTTGGTCGAGCCTCCTGAACGCCGGCCTTCATACCTTCACCGGGCTGACCGTTTTTTTGTCCTTGCGTTTGCAGACGAACGTCTCTGTGGTGCACTTGGGCCCTTCGTCGGGGCTGTACGACCAGCGCACCTTCTCTTTGAACGGTTTCTCGTCAGGGGTTTTGCTTTTACGAGTTTTGACAAACTCGTTAACCTTTTGTCACTGGATCTCGCAGAACGGCATCTTCTGGCCGTCCTTGTTGGTGTCGGTGTCGGTGGTGCTGAGGTCGTCGCCCTTGGGGCTGTCCGCGTTGTTGGTGCCGCCCTGGCCGCTGCAACGCAAAATCATCACTCTGTTTGCATTTAAAGATCGGGTTGGAAGCTAGGAGGGAAGTGGATACCTTTTTATGTTATCCATTTGCCACGGTAATGTAATAAAGTAATCTGCAAAATTGTCCCTTGACGTACAAAACAAAACACTATCAATTTTCTGACATATAAGCCTACATCATATATATGTATATGGTATGTTTTTATTAGAATACTTTACTCCGATTAAAATGATGTGACATAATTTAAATTTTAGTCAAATCGCTTTTGACAAATCGGCAAAAATATGAAATTTTTATATAACTGACTGCAACAACAATAATTATTTACAAATTAGGTATAACAACCCAAAAAAATATCGTCTAAGTATCTGAGTTAACAAGGGTGTACCCAAAATCGACCTTGGGATTTATCTTTTGATATTTCCTCCTTAGGTACAACAACCCAAACAAATACTATTCGTAAAAACGTAAACATATCTATTAAAATTAGTTTATGCGAATAGCACGGTTAATACCGAGACGCCTGAAAACATCAACCGGTACCGGCTTAGGCATAGGATAATAATGAGTACTATACCGTTTATTATATATTTACGTGCCGTACTAACCTGATGGACCCAGGGGGGCACATTGATTGTCATCTAAGCGCCAGGGTGGACACCATCGGCGGCCTGGACGGTTTGTTCTCCAGTATCCTCTCGATGTCCGCCACCGCGTTTGTGTTCAGCTTCGGGACGAGCTGCAACGACTGGATGTTCTCGTACAATTGGTCGACTGTGCTGGCGCCTAGCAGCAGGCACTGCACCGACTCGTTCTTCAGGCACCAGGCGACCGTCAGCTGGGTTAGCGAACAACCGAGACGCTCGGCCAGGGCGTTCAGTTCGCGTACGCGTTCCGAATGACGACGTCCGTCGTCCGCCTGGATACGTTCCTTCATCCAACCACAGCCCTAAGACTCCGATGGTAGAAATTCACCGTAATAAATTCCCGAAAATCCTTAGTAAACGCCGTCAAATCGCGCTTAACTACAATATAAATCGCCATTGTCTTCGTGCGAAAGCGATCCAGATTAAAAATAAAGTTCCGTGAACTATCGCAATAAGTAAACTTCCGATTTAAATCCCTCGATATCCTCAATAACTACTCGTAAATATTAATAAAACACAACAATAAGTAAAAGTTTGATTTAAAACCTAAATAAATTACAGTAAATCTCCACGCAATCAATTTAAATCGGTGCACATATTCAAAAACTAAAAACATATCCTCTTGGAACCGAAAAAAAAATGACCGAAAATAAGTTTTCTGAAATCCCAAAAATATTCCCGCGCTGACTTCATGCCAAAGTGATTCAGGCCAAAAATAAAGTGTTCGAAATAAGTAAACGTCTGATTTAAATACACCAAAATCCTCAATAAATTGTCATAAATATCATTAAGTCGCTATAAATATCAAATACGTCTGTGCAATAAGTTGAAGTTTAATTTAAATCCTCAATAAATTACAGTAAATTGCCACAAAACTTCAAAAAACAAAAATTCATTTGTGCCCGAGCGACAAAAAAGTTTTCATAAATTCTCAATAAATACCGTTAAATCGCGATGGAGTGCCGCAACAAGTGAATTAGTAACTAAGAATAAATCATCATGAATCACAGTAAATCACCGCAATAGATAAACTTTCGATTTAAATATTCAATAAATTACAGTAAATCTCCACAGAAAATGAGTTACATCGTCGTTAGATCACTGAAATCGTAAATTCATCACCGTAAATGATCTCAAAACACACTACAGCGATTAAGACGGGTCCGTAGATTATTTAAACTCACGTCTTTGTTGGCGGCGGCGGTCTCGTCCTCGGTCCACGAGAACGAGCTGTACTTATTGCGGAAGCTGGCGCGCGAGAACAAGGCCACGCAGTCCTCTTTCCCTTGGGAGAGGCCCATCGATATCGGGGACCAGGCCATCAAACCTGCGGGAGCACATTTCAGAAAAATGTATTATTTAGATGAAGAATTTTTCATACAAAATTTGTTTTCGTTTCATAAGTAAACAATCAACAAATCATCGTAAATCCTCTAAAATCTTCAATAAATCATAGATAAATGGTTGTGAATCAATGCAAATGCTCAATAAGTATATAAATTGTATTAATATAATTACTAGTTCGAAATGTGTTTATTATTGCTACTAATTTTTGAAAAAATAATACATTTGTACATGACGGGCCCACTTACCGACGCCAATTTTGTTGTACAGTTCGGGCATGTAAAGTTCCGCCTTCTCCCGACAAAACAGATGGTATTCCGATTGCTCGACGATCGGCGTGATGCAGTTGAACTGGCGACAGTTGGTGTAGGCCTCCATTATTTCGACCGGCGACCAACGCGCGGTGCCCCAGTACATCGCCCACCCTTGCGTTATGACGTAGTTCATCGCTCGCACCACCTCTGTTGACAAATAATCGTAAATCTTCGATAAACCACCTTAAATCCTTAATAACACGCCGTAAATCATGCAAATTTTTACAGTCTGAGAAAGGCAAGGGCCCTGACATTCGTAATCATGGTTAAATTACTGTAGATCCTCAATAATACGCCGTAAATCACTGCAATTTTTACAGCCTGTAGACCGACAATTGACCTTATTAGTTAAATACTCTGTGCATAATTGTAAATAATCAGTAAATCACTGTAAATCATCAAAAGCACTCCGCAAATCACGGTAGTATTTACTGGCTGTTGAATGGCAGATGGAATTAACAGTTAAATGTTCGGTAAATAATCCACAGTAACACGCTCTAAATCTCGACAATTTTTACAGTCTGTAGACCGGTCAGTAGCCTTAATAATTATATACTGAGTACACAATCGTAAATCATCGATAAATCATTGTAAATCCTCAAAAGCACTCCTTAAATGAAGGCAGTTTTTACTGGCTGTAGAAGGGCAGGTGAGATGACAGTTAAATACTCTGAAAATAATAGCAAATCGTCGATAAAAAACTCGGAATTTTTGGAGATCAATTGATTGGTACCAAAACGTTTAATTACCTTCCATCGGACACATTGGATCCGCCTTGTGTACTATGACGACGTCTATGTAGGAGAGCTGAAGGCGGAGAAGGCTGGCCTTGACGCTTTCGATGATGTGTTTCCGAGAGAGTCCGCGTTCTTCCGATCTGCAATACGCTCGGTTCCCGTTAGTCTGAGAACGAAAATCAAAATATTCGATATACCTGGTACTCCAATAAATCTTGGTGGTGACAATGAAGCTGGTCCTCTTCCAGCCTCTGCGCGCCAGTATCCTGCCCAGCTCTACCTCGGCCCTGGTGCCTGGAAATTCGACACAACGTTCTAGAAAGTTTTTATGCAGGCAAGGGGCGTTGCACTTCGACCAGAAATATTGTATTTTTGCAACCGACTCCGTGACTAACTTTGACTACTGTTTGTTACTGCAAAACCGCAGCCCCTTATAGAACACCCTGCCCAGCAGGATGACTATTCCAGGACCGTCCTAGGAATTTATCTACAAGCTTTTTCGCCGAGCAATTCTTGAAATATGTACATAGAAAAATTATTATAAAGTAACAAATTATTATGTTCTATTTTATTACATTTCTACATAGTATCATTATTAATATAAAAAATATTAAATATATTAATAATAAAGCATCAGTCACTTAAAAAATCGTCACTATCGCTACTGTCGTGACCTACTTAAAAGGTCAAAGCATTAAATGCACTATATTTTTGGTCGCACTATACCTGAATGGGCCTCCGACAAATCGAACACGTTGATGCCGCTCTCCACGGCGAGCACGATCACTTGTTCCGCTTGTTCTTCGGTGATGCTCGGACTGAACGTCGGCCAAGTGCCTGAGAGAGAGGAAAAAATGAAGGTTTACGCGAGAAAAAAATGGCGCGCCAACCTAAACCGATGTTGGAGACCCGGAGGCCGCTTTTACCGAGGTTGCGGTATCTCAGGCCGGGCGTGACGTTGGTTTGACGGGCGATTTGCGTTGGGGCGGCGACGACGGGGGCGGAATGCGTGATCCCACCGAGCAGCAGCTGCTCCTTGGTGAACGCGCCGTCTCCCGATTTCTCCGCCAAGGCACTGAGGGCGCTGCCGGCGCTGAACTCTTCCATGCAGTCTAGGCTAGCGATCGGCGCTCTGCATCTGTGTAGTTTAGTTTGGTTTATTTGACCACGTAACGCAAGATTATGTACCAGGTGGTCCAAATTCGAGGGGCCTCTATGGCTTTAAGTATTTGCAACATAGTTGGCCCAAAACTTATAGGCATGGGACGGGCCCGATTTTCCAGATGTCAAGGCGTTTTTGAGCTTCTCTATAAATTTTTTAATTGCAAGAATAGAATTTTCGGAAAAAAACATTTTTTTATTTTTTTAAAGCGTTTTGTCTTAGTTTCCGAGATATTACACAAAATTATATTTCATTTAATGAGATAACCCCAATTTTTTCCAAAAATCAGTTTTCTAATAAAATTTCCTGTGTAGATAATTTTTTTTTCATACAAAATCAAGTTGGTTACGACACGAGGGGACACAGCAACCTTGTACTTTAACTTCTAGTTTATAATAATTTTCAACCATAAAATAATAAACGGAAATGAAATTATGAAAAGCAATTTTTTTATTTATTTTTTTTTTAAATTAAACGATGTAACACTTAAAATGTACATCTAAAAAATTTCTTTAATTGTAAAACAAATGCTCAAATTGACGGCCGTTTTCTTCTAAACATATCCTACATCTTCTCTTGACGCAATTTTCTGCATTTAGAACTTCTAGCGCACGAAGCTGCCTGAATACAGTACGAAGTGCCTCTTCCAGTTCCCTTCTAGTGGTTGGGCGATTTCGAAATACAAGGTCTTTGATTCTCCCCCACAAAAAGAAGTCGCCAGGAGTCAGGTCTGGAGGCCTGGCCTCTGTAGATGCCTACCCACATCTTAGCCCATATTATACCAAAAAAATAAAATAAAAAATCCTTTTTTGCTATGAAATTATTTATTTTGTTGCACTTGAGAGTACATTACATGTGTCAAAAAATACAAAAAAATTAAATAATGTTTTGGGGCACATAAGATGTAACATATAATTTATACATAAATATACAAAAGAAAGTTCAAATTCGGTAGAAAACAACTAAAATAGATTACACACTACACTTATTGCAAACGTAAATTGTGTGGTTGTGGCAGATTCTACATCTCCTTCGGGCTTTATTAGCATGAACAATCATGAGGTGACCATGTATGGCAGGTGGAAAATTTCTTTGTGTAACTGTTTGATCACTTCGCCATCAAAAAATATAAAAAATATTTCAATCGGAGTTTTTCCAGAAAGCATATTTTTTACTTCCTCACATCTAGACTTGCAATAACAAAGTTTTGTTTCACAGATAAAACCACTGGTGCATTCACGCAGCAGTAAACATTTTCAAAAAATAAAGTATAATCAATATTTCCAGTGTATGTACATGCAATACATGGCAATACAACTCCAAAATGTTTTTTTTTTACTATTTTAGATTTACTTAAAAGTGTGATACAAATTTATGTAACGCTTTGTTCATTTTTAAAGTCACATATATAAGATCTTTCCTTTACACATAAATTAGCGATTTCTACGGTTTTATGTCCTTTAGTAGCGATAATAATAAAATTTCCAAATGGATGTGCAAAAATATTTCCTGGATGTGACAAAAAAATCATGGTGCATTAACGCACCACTGGGACAAAATGGGTTAAAAATGAACCTTCCCTGATTTGCTTGTTCCGTCAATAATATGGCGATTTTGCTGATTCCAGTAATAGCAGTTATACCTGATACCTGGTGAATATTTCATCAATAGAAAGTGTTGCCTCATCCGCCCAAATAACTTTCCTGGCAACATCGGAGTCTCCTCGGCATTTATGTACCTAAATAACCTTCAAAGTGCACGTCTTGGAGCAAAATCTCGTTGCTGCGATAGGGCCTAAACTTGTGTCTTTCAATCACCCGCACGGCATTGCTGCGTGGTATTCCAGTGTTTCTCTCCACAGCCCTGGTGGAAGTATTCCGATTAATTTCTACTTTTCCGAGAACCGTTAGTTCTTCCAACTCTTTATCTCTGGCCAGGCTTATATGCGTCTTAGGTCGCGATTTTGTAAAGGATCCGTACTCTTACAGTTGACGTTTTAACTTCAAAAATATTTTTGAACCGGATATCTCTGGAAATATAGATTTAACGCCCTCTGCGGATTTTCGTTATTTTCAATATAACATTATATCATGTCGTACTTTTCAACGTTTTCAAACATTTTTATCGCTTTTGACATTTGGGCTTGTTGATCGCGGCAATTCTTTTTATCTGATCGTAGCTACCTAGATAGATACCGTAAAACTGTTTTGGTTAGTTTAGTTTTGATTGGTAAAACTTAGTTTTAATCTTCTCCTAAAGATGCCAACTTGGTTGGCGAAACGCGCGTCGAGTCGTAAAATTGAGTTTCGGTTTGTGGTAAAACGCGTTATTGTGTGTTAGTGCAGGGCCGAAGGTTCCAGTCAAGAGTTTGAGATAGAGTTACCGTTAAAAATTTTTCAAAAAATGTTTTTCTTTAAATCTCGATCTTTACAAATAAAAAAGTTATAGAGGATTTTTAGAAACGCACATTTTTAAGAATCACCCTGCAGCTCAGAAATGCTCTGACATATCATGATGCGGTTTTTAGTTTTCGACTTCTCTCGAAAGTCGAGCCCGTACATGCATATTAGTTTTGGGCTAACTATACTGCAAATGCTTCGAGCGCTACAGGTCCCTCGAATTTGGACCACCCTGTAAATGTAGCATGTCAGTTTGTACAAATAAATATACATAGAAAAACATAAAAAAAAATATAATACAGACAAACAAAACTTCTGGATTCCTCCTGCGTTGGTTTTTGCTGAGTCGCCAATCATCCTGTTGGCTTCTTCAGAGCCTGACTGAAACTGGCTCACGTTTTTCTATGTACCTGCTTATATGAAGACGGGTGACTGAATCCCGTATTGGTGACCTGAGTCGCAGTTAAGATTGTTGGGTCGGGTTGGGTTGGGTAGACGAATTGCAAGAAGAAATGTAATTGAAGATAAAGAATTTGATAACTCATTATGATCCCTAGCTAATAACATTATTAGTAACACATTATTAGGAAAACTGTATTTGTAACAAATGATATTTGTACCTTTAAGTGAATATAAATTTAATCACATCACAGTAGTTAAAATATAAGATTAAATACAAGATTTTTAGTGAGAAATGTGCCTTTTGAAAAATATTTTTTAAATGTTCACGAAATCTTAGATCACAATCTATGATCACCCCCAAATTTTTTGATGAATCGACAACGGAAAGTTTAGTATTATCTAACATTATATTAATATTTTGTTTAAGTAGCTTAACTTTATTTTTATTTAAAAATATCATTAAATGCGATTTTGATGGGTTTAGCTTTAAATTATGGGCACGAGAAAGTTCACTAATTCTGTAAAGATCTTGATTTATAAATACCCAAATCAAAACAGCAATACAATTGAGTGTGGTCGGCATATATAATATATAAAGATTGAAGATGCCTGCATTATTTGAAGCATTCGATAAAAAGTCGGTATAAATTTAAATATAACTAATAAATAAATAAACATAAATATATAATAAAATAAAAATAAATAAATAAATAAAGGTAAATTAAAACTATTAATTTTCTTATTGTTTACAAAAATTCTGGATCATCATGCTGGCTTCTTCAGGGCTTAACTGAAATTGTTTCAGTTTTAGTTCAGCTCGCAAGCAAATTCAACTCAACGACAGGAGGAATCCAGAAGTTTTCTAAATAGTCTTACAATTGCTTGTGGAAGTTTCTTTGAAAAAAATCTTGTGTGCCGTTTTTTTTTTTCATTTCGTTTCGAGGACGATTTCTGAAAGCGAGAAAAAAAAAGAAGAAAAGGCGAGTTACCTATAGATCGTAGGCGGCTGATTGGACTCCTCGTTAACATTATCACTGTTGTTATTGTTATCGTTGGCCGAATAATTACACAACGCTAATTGAGACATGATCGAAAGCGGAGCAGCATCTAAAGGGGCGGATCGGGGAAGGGGTACTGACGATTTTGAGGGAAAATTTCGCTTTTGTATATATAGGCACTACTTTTTCGATTTTTTATTAGATTTCTAAGGCAGACGTATCGGGTAATATCTAAATTATGGATATATATATCGGTTATATTTGACCACTACTGTCAAAAAAGTATTTTGCTCGTGGTGTGGCCGCCATGTTTGTATTTCGTAACCCCACGAACGAAAGTCAATGAGAACGACGGAACTTTCGTATGGGACGTTACGGTTAGTTTTTTTCCGGGAAATTGGCAGTGTGTGACAATAATGTGCAAAAATGAGCGATTATAGGGGATATTTTGATCAGGATTTTAAGCGTTCAAAATTTTAGAAAAAATCTTAGTTTATGCTATTTTCCAAAAATATGGAAAAGTTTGATTGAGAAAAGTCGTTTTCAAAAGAAAATCTTCAAATTTGACACCTGCAAAAGTTGTCAAATTTAATGCAAGGTTAATATGGTGAACTTTTTAAAAAATACGAGAAAAAAAATCGTCGATCAATAAAAATGTCGCACGATAATTAAAAGCGCAGGTTGTTTGAAAAAGAATATTTGTTTTATTTTTGTACGCGCAATATTTTTTAATAAATTGAGCCATGGAAAATTGCAATTTTAAAAAAAAAAACTGAAAATCCGGGCAATAAGCTTTTAGAATCCCGGTGGAAAACTTATATGTTTTTTGTTTTGTTTTGTTTTGAATTTTGGTTGTTAAAGTGCAACTTTTGTTTTAATTTATTGTTTCTAATAATAATAATAACAAATTCTTGTAGAAAAAGTGAGGATGTCTTGGCCTTCCAAAATCTACGGTTCAGCAATTTTTAAATAAGCACAGGTTTAAAAAAAAATCGTAATTATTTCTTATCATTATCAAAGCGGTTTTTTGATAGTTGTTTCAAGTCAATTGAGCATTTTCTCTTGTTTAACCAAGAAATAGTGTTCACAGAGGAAGCTAACTTTTCGAGAAGTGCAGTCAAAAATTTCCACAATAATCATATTTAAGCCGAGAAGAGTTCACGGTAAATGTTTGAAACTTTGGAAATTATTTTATTTCATCATTTCATTGGCCATAATTATCGGCGATTTTTAAAAAACAGGATTTGCTAATATTGCTAAAAACCATGCCCTTCTAGACCCCCAGATTTAAATAGTTTGGACTCTTTCTTATGGGGGTATCTTAAAAGTCTACAGTTAACACTGTAGAGGAGCTGAAATATCGCATAAGAGCGTTCTGCGGTTTAATAATAAACACTGGAGGTATTCTTCAAAGAATACGCAGCAATATGAGTGTTTAATCTTTAAGGTGGAAGGGCACTTTCAACTTCAACTTATCTGGTTTGTATGTTCTACGTTTTTTCCAAAAGGTTATTATTAATTTATTAACAATTAATTTTGTTTTTGTGTGAGTGTGTGTTTTTTTTAATCAGAATCGTGAAACCTGTAAAAGTAAAAAAAACTCCTATTTTTTTTTTCTGAAGGACATTATTTGGTAATTAAGAACTAGATATATATTTTTTTAGGTAGATATTAAGGATAATGGCATTTGCATCAATTTATTTGATTTCTGGTTTTTTGTTTAGTTCGTTCATTTAAAAATAAAAACTAACTTCTCTGCATGTTGTCATATTAACGATATTGTCAGCACCTTGCAGAGAAGAGGCTTTTATTTTTTAAGCGACAGCCGTACATGGGATTGAAAAAAATCAAGAAATTAAATTTCTTTGGAAATGATTGCAGATTGTAAGAATAAATTTTATTTTAAGGGAAATCATCAAAATAGACAGGTGAAATTCCTTTCGAGCCTACTGGTTTATTTGGTACACTAAATAATGCCTTTTGAAATATAGTACACGTGTGCTAAATTTCATTTCTTTTTAAAATGGACTCCTAATTATTGACATTCATTTATAAATCACCCTGTATATGTTTTCGGAAAGCGCTTAGCGGAGATTTGAAGTAAAATACACGAGTTGTTGCAGAAAACTTCTAAACTAACAATTTTTGTAATAAAATTATATGAAATGATACAGAATTAAATCCCAAACCCAATAAAAGTGTCAAATACAGGGCGTTAAAAATTTCGTAATTTTATGTAATGACAAAAAAGACTCAAAATTAAGGGAACAATTGGAATTATAAAAAATATTCGTAATATTCCATTTAAGTTGATTACCGTCCTGGTACAACGCAACACCCTGTACATATAAAAATGCTATAAATGAAATATATACTCGGGCTCAAACACTTCGCAAAAAATTTTTTTTCATGTACCTGTGGAATTCAAAAACACCAACGGCAACGTTGTCAGATTTTGTGACGAAGTTTACAACTCCGGCAACACCTTTCGGGCATACGCTTTCACAATTCGTTGCGGAAAAATAAATACGGCACCGCGTTTAAAATACCAAAATCACCAAGTGTGACGTAGAATTAAGAAATCTGACATCGTCGGCGTCGGCATTTTTAAATTTCGCGCGTTCCAAAACGTCCGAGGGAACAAAAATTAAGTGACGTAACGGATGCGGTTGCCGCATTTCGGTCGCAGTATCGGGGGGTTGGGGGGAGTTTGGGGGGTCTCTACGTCGACGTCGACTTTCGGCCGCCGTTTTTGGCAACGGTTCAACTGTTACGCTATAACCTCACAATTCCCTAAGCAAAATACGTTTTTGTTTTTGGGGGTGGGGGGTGGTGGTCGTTTGGTTCCGAGGGGGGTTTTCTGTGCCCTTACTCGATTTTAAAAACTCCCGAAATGAACTGTAAAAACCCGCGCACTGTCAATTATATACTATTTATTATGTTATACTGTTTTTACACCACGCTGGTCGTTTTTTTTTATTATTTATTTATTTATTCACAACCTTGGTATGCGGCGGCGGCTCGCGGTTTCTTCTCATATAAACGACGAAAAGAATCAACAAATTTCGGGGGCTCTTCGATCGGACCGACGCGTCGAGACGACGACGACGACGACGACGTCGACGTCGTCATTGCAGCAGCGGCGGCGGCAGCGGAGCCGCCCGATCCCGCCCGAGCTGCTGACGTCGGGACGCCGGCGTCGCGAGGCCGATTGATCCCGGGGTGGAGGGGAGAGTTAGTGTGTAGACGGGACGTTGCGAAATCACGGGCCAAAGGGACACGGGGGTGGGGGCGGACAATTTACCTATTACCACGGAAAAAACGAAATTGTCGCTTCAAATAGGCATATTTTCTTTTGGTTTTTTAAATAAAAATGTAAATAGTTCAAAATAATTATTCATCGCTTGATTTTAAAATTTTAGATATATGGGAGGGTGGGGCAAGGGGGTCTTAAGCTTTTTATTATTTTTTTTGGCCTTTATATGTTCTTTTAATATTTGTAATACCAGTAAAGATATTTTAATGAAATTCGCCACATATGTACTACGTATCAAGAGGCATTATTTAGAGTATCGCAAGTTTTCAAAAATACACCAGTGACGGGCGTACGGAATTTCACCTGTCTATTGATTTCGCTTAAAACAAAAATAATTTCTTGATTTTTTTCAATCCGATATACTGTTCTCGCTTTAAAAAAAACTCACTCTCAGAAGTAATCCTCCGGTGTTTCCAGACATTTAAGACGCTCCCATAAGAAAAAGTCCAAACTATTTAAATCTGAGAACCTAGGGGGCCACGGTCGAGGTCCGCCGCGACCTACTCTTCGGTTATTAATTAAAAATCTCTTATTGCATCATTGAAGTGAGCTGGCAGTGATCCTAATTAAATATGATAGTTCTTCAAGCAACATTGGCAAATCATCTTCTAAAAATAGGCGGTAATTATGGTCATTTAGCCTTTCTGGCAGGAATAGGGGTCCAATTAAGTAATTTCCAACAATTCCAGTCCAAACATTTAGCGAAAACTTGATGTTTAAATTCGACAGCTCCATGAGCGTTTTCATCGGCCCAAATATGGTTGTCATGGAAAAGTTAGCTACATCACTCTTGGTCAATCAAGGCATAATCGGCAATTTTGAGAAGTAACGCTTGGACTCGTTGAATATAATATAGAATTTTCCAAACCAAGACGTGCGAGATACCTCAGAATATTTCAGTTCAGGGTTTTCATCAATTGAATTGAATAAATAAATAGCATATTAACAAAATAGCATAACCTCAACAAATTCGTATAACGTTTGCGTGTATTTTGGATTCTTGACTTGCGTCCGTTACTCACATCGACTGTAGCGTATCTTCTTGGTCTTCGATCAGGAGCGACTTTTGCTCTGCGAGCTCCTTTAGTTTGGTCTCCCTTTCCCGTTCCGACTGACGCTGCTGAAGGAGGTCGTTGTCCAGCTGCCGTATTTCCCACTGCTCCCTTTGCGTGCGGTGATGCTGCTGAAATAGAAAAAGTGTAGCCGTCACCTGCTGAGCAAAACGCGACGATGCCAAGTCTCGCGATTATTCTCCGCAAACTTCGTTTTTTTTTTTCACTTGGTGACATGTAAAGTTAGGTTAGGGAAGGGTGTACGAGGTCTACCTTTTATATTTCGGGATTTGTAATAAAAAACTATAAGCTACCAACAATTTTACTTTATTGTTTCTCAAAATATTCACCCCGATGATCAATACACTTTTGCATTCGATAAAAGCAATCATCGAAGCACTTTTCCCACATCGATTCCGGCACCTCCGAAACATGCTTCAATCGCTTCTTCTGCTGTCAACAATCGTTGCCCACGTAATTTGTTCTTAATGTATGGGAATAAAAAGAAGTCATTAGGTGCTAAATCAACGTTTTTAATGCTCAAAAAGTTCTTTGTTTGCACTGATCTAGCATTGTCGTCGTCGGGAGTGATTCGTCTTCGGCGGTTGTTTTTTCTAATTTCTTCGAAGACTTTCGGCAAACAAATGGCTGTATATCATTCAGAATTGACTGTTTTACCTTTCATCAAAGAAACAGTTATAACGTGGCCAGTGTTCCTAAATAAACAGGTTACCATTCGTTTCGAGGTGCTTCGCGAGCTAACAACTTTTGTGAGCTTTGTTTCATTCTGAAAGACCCACGCAGTCGACTGCTGCCTACTTTCAGGTTCATACGCATAGATCCATGATTCATCACCTGTCACATGCTTGGAAGCACATCGATCGATTTTTTTAGCATTTCCTTCGATCAATCAACACGTGCCTTTTTTGAACTTATGTCAAATTGTGTGGAATCCAACGTGTTTATGCAAATTTTATGTATGCTGGTCCCACTAATGCTCAAAGATACCTCATCTCATGGTAAGTAACATGACGATCTCGCAAAATCTGTTTCAGCACTGCATCAATTTTTTCTTGAACAACCACCGATTTTGGACGACCTACACGAAGATTCATCATAAGAGAACTACGACCACGACTGAAGTCCGAAAACTAACTCCAAAAGTCGAATGAAGTTCATCGATGTATTGCTATTGCGTTAGTCCACATCTAAAATTGTAAAAAATGTTCCCGATTAAGTTCTATTTTTAACAGTCACAATTTTTTCAATTTAACACAAAAAACACAAACTGCACTCTTTCGCCAAAACCTAACTGAGTAAACCTAACCTCAAAATGTCAAACTTTCCTATAAAAACGTTAGTTGACAGATGGCAGCACTAGTTTAAGAAACATATTAATTTATTTATTATATTTATTTTATTAGGTACTATTTCACGAAAGTGTTAATCTTTCTGACATTTTGAAGTTGTTTAATTTAATAATAATTTGTTGTGTGTATTTGGTTTTTATTTTAATTTAATCGCTCCTCGCATTTGCCAGAAGCTTTTTTATAAGAATGGACCATTTTAATCAAAATAAAGACTGAACTGGCTTTTACTTGATGAAAATCCATTTAACAAAATAAATAAGAACTAAAAGTTCAAATGTTCACGAAATTATATATCTTTATCAAATGCGAGACAATAATGTTGCAGAGGTATATTTACCTGGCTCATTTTCGTCGTGTTCGATGGACCCTTTCCGATAAAATTTCAACGATGTTATTATTGTACGACCAAAAATATTTATTTATTCATTTATTGCTTTAAAGTGTTAACTATTATACAGTACCTTAAGTAATTCTTCCCTGAGATGGGCTTATATCTTTATTCAGACATCAATTCTAGGATAAAAAAATAAAGTAAGTTTGTAATTTATCTTATATTTAAATTTTTCTTACTTTTTGAAATATTCGAGGTTTTAGATAACACACTCATAAATGCTTGGTGAATTTAAAGCTGCCCACTTGTTGGCAATATTAGGCATTTTTTAAATAGCATAGACATGATCCTACTTCTTTTAAACATATTAGACTCCAGATATACGAATAAAAACTATTGTCAACAATACAGCTTTAATAAAACTTCAGAATTCATATTTAAAGAAGCAGTTAGTGGTTAATTATCTAGCTTGATTGAAAATACCAAATAACAAAAATAGGTAATTAAAGTTTATAGGCTAACTAAAAAATTTGAGTAAATAAATCTATTAAAAAAAAGTTAACTAAAACATGTTCTTTAATTCGGTCCATAAAGTTTAGTTAACATCAAAACAATAAAGAAGTATCAAAATATTTAAACATTTATTGCTTGTTGTAGTTGAAGTTGGCTATGACATCACAATATTTTTTTGACGCATTAAGATATAAACCAACTTTGACATTTCTGCTTGTTTTTTTTTGGTTTTTCGAATTTCTATTTCAAAGGTTCATAGTTGTCAAGTTTTTTGTTAGTATGTATTTTATTTGCATTTTAAATAAGTCATAGTTTTTTGGTTAATCTGTAAAATTTAATTATTTATTTTTGTTATTAGGTATTTTCAATCAGGCTAGGTAATTCATTATTAGGTGTTTCCTTAAATATGAATTCTGAAGTTTTATTACATCTGTTAAATTGTGTGGTATAGAGTCGATTTTTCTCACAATTTCCACGTATTAATGGATAACCTGTATTGTTATCAATAGATTTTATTCGTACATCTGAAGTATTATATCTTTAAAAATACTACGTAATATTGCCCACTTTTTAAAAAGAAATATGAATGTGGGCAGATTTAAATTCAATAAGAATTTATACGGTTGTTATCTTAAACCTCGAATATCTCAAAAAGTAAGTAATTTGAGATTTAATATAAATTACAAACTTACCTTATTTTTAGTCCTAGAATTGATATTTGGTTAAAAATATAGGGTGTTCCATTTGAAAATTTTTAGCTTTTGTTAATTAAATTCGCCAAAACGACAAAAAAAATTTTTTTGCCAATTTTTTAATCATATTTTTCGTGTACCCTGTATTAATATGAAATCTGTTATTCGAGTCCTTTGTGTAGAGCAAAACTTAGTCAAGTGAAACAATAAATGCTTCCGAACGAAGAAATTGACAGATATTTTACGTCTTATATTATATATAGCAGGTGTTCCATTTAAAATAAGAAAGTTGATACTCACTCAAAATTGAACCACACTAATTAGCTTTTGTATTTAACTTTTGGCTCCATCCCCTATAGTTTCTAAGATAAGGTAGTGTCCCTAGATAAGTGGCTCACCCTATACAATTTTATTTATAAATCTTAACAATCATGATCCGAGTGGTAAGATGAACGGAAACATTGGAAGGAACTCTACAGAGTGTTTGCTATATGTTATCCACCTTGCCTTTTTCTATTTCAGTTCATGTTTACATTCCGTACTATATTTTTCAAAGCCTTCAAATCTCTTACTTAAAAGGGGTGTCATAGCTTGCCGATAGCCCCGTTAGTTTCGTACAAAGAGGTTTATTCAAAGTTACCATTTATAAAAAAAAAGCTCCTTCTTCGCGTAGCCTTCAAAAATTTAAAATGAAAATTTTTTTCCCAACAACTGCTGCCTACCTGCCTCTCTCAGGACCTTTGACAATGGTACGCCTATGGAATACAACCAGCAAGTTTCGCAGTTCGGTGAAACTTGCAGATTTAAAATATCAATCCCCCTTCCCCTTCGCGATTAACCTTCGCCTATCGACCGGACAGCGGCGTTGCACTCGGAAGCGGCGTTGCCGAGTAATACGACGAAATTGTAAAAATCGATGACTAAAAAAAGCGCGCCCCCATTTTTTTTTGTTTTCTGTCGTCTAATCATTCGCAAAATGTACAGTAAATTTATTAACTTAGCGAAAAAGTGCATTGAGGTGCTAGTCTATAGGCTAGCTTGTAAACAACCTTGTTTTATAAAACTCGTTAAAAATGACAGTAATGGTGCTTGAAGGATTTACTTATTTTCTCAATTTTTTTAGATTTTCTTTATCGTGAATTCATTTTGTCAGCAAGCAGCAGCTTTTTTATCTTTTAATGTCCAAAGTACTGCAAGTCAACTAATAGTTGTGAAAAAAATATGCATCTTCAACCGTTGTCAAGGGAATATATATCTCCAACCGTTATTAAGGTAATAGTTATTAAGAAAATATTACAGAATAATGATCATGAAAATATGTATCTCAAATTGTTGTCAACAGAATAATTATCAAGAATATCTTCTATCTTTAACCGTAACAGGATAATTGTCAAGAACGTGCAGTTATATATTCCGTTATCAAGAGAATATGTATTTTCAACCTTTACCTGTTTTCAAGAGAATAAGTTACAACAAAATAACCGCTATCATCCAACCGTTATGAAGATAATAAATATCAAGAAAATTAGTATATTCAAACAGTATACATAAACAAAATAAGTATCTTTAACCGTTATCAAGCGAATATCAACCGTTAAGTATCAATAAAATATTGTTATCAACAAAATAATTATCAAGAAAATAAGTATCTCCAATTTTTATCAAGGAAATATATATCTTTAACCGTTATCTAGAGAATATGTATTGCCAACCATTATCAAGAGAATATGCGTCAAGAAAATATGCATCTCCAAGTGTTATCAACAGAATATGTAGCTGCAACTGTTATTAACAAAATAAGTATCAAGAACAACGTATCTCCACATGAAGCGTGGAAATACCAAAAGAGGTGTGGGCCAAATTTTATTTTTGAGATAATAAAATAAAACTATTTAAATTTACAACATGGTTATAATTGTCAGTGTTCGTGGAAGTAATTATTTCGATAGGCACATATTCCTTTTCTCAGGACATTCTAACGCAAAATGTTAATATATCAAAAAATGGCACATATCCCTTTGACATTTGCACTCTTCAATTGTTATC